CTGTTCTTTTCCCCAAGTGCTGGGATTACAGTATGGCATCACCACACCCACTCTCTACTCTAATACTTCAAACCCGTGAGTTTGTGTGGCTCCCTCATTCCAAAGCACAGCACAAGGCGCTAAGGTGCTTGGGAGAGCTTCTGTAGGAAGGGCACGAAAGGGAGCTCTGGCAGCTTCTTGTGGGCTTATTGATAATGGAAATGACTGATTACCGAAAGAAAGAAAAACCCCACCTTATCTTCCTCTTTATTTTGAAACTTCTTTGAGTCTTAGTAAGAATAGCCACAAACATGTCAAGTGAAGAACTTGTTCTTGTACACCTTCCTACCCCTGTGAAGCTATCAAACATGTCAAGTGAGGAACTTGTTCTTGTACACCTTCCTACCCCTGTGAAGCTATCAAACATGTCAAGTGAGGAACTTGTTCTTGTACACCTTCCTACCCCTGTGAAGCTATCAAAATCACAGGTCTCTCTACTCCTCTCACTCAAACTTTCTCACTCACCTTTGCATCCAGACCACCCTCTTCCTCTCCTCCACTGCCTCTTTCCAGGAAATCTCTGATCTGCCTTTGCCACTGGAGGCTAGTCTGCATTATCTTGAGTTTTATGTAAGTGAAAGCAAACAGTATATACTTTTCGATTCACCTTCCTTACTCAGCATAAAATTATTTGGGCCAGACGGTGGTGACACATGCCTTTAATCCCAGCACTTGGGAGGCAGAGCCAGGTGGATCTCTGTGAGTTCGAGGCCAGCCTGGTCTACAGAGCGAGATTCAGGACAGGCACCAAAACTACACGGAGAAACCCTGTCTCAAAAAACAAAAAAACAACAAAAAAAAAATTTTTGAGACCAGTTTGTGTGAAGTGGCAATCCATTCCTTCTCCTGTCATGTGAACAGTTTGGCTGTCACCAACAAAGCTGGTGTGGAGATTCTTGTGCAAGCTTCTGTGGGGACACAGGGTTGCATTTTTCCTATGTAATTACTTAGGCGTAGCATAGTTGGGTGTATGGTAAGCATATATTTTGACTTTTTCTGAAGCTGCACACTGTTTTCCAGTGGGCTGGGAGATGGCTCTGTTGTTAAAGTGCTTGCTGTACAAGCACGAGGACACATTTGGATTCTCAGCACCAATAGAATTCAAATGTAGTGGTGTTATCTGCAACCCAAGCTCTGAGGAGGCATCCAGTATAGCTGAAACAGTGAGCCCCAGGCTTAGTGGGAGGTGTTGCCATAACGAAATAAAACAAAACAAACAAACAACAAACAAAAGGTAAAGAAAAAAGGTAGGTGCTAGAGAGACGGCTCAGCAGGTGAGAGTACTGGTGGCTGCTCTTCCAAGGATTTAGGTCTGCCTCCCAGAACACACGTGGTGGCTTACAAACATCCCTAACTCCAGTTCCAGGGGATCTGATGCCCCCTTCTGGCCTCATCTGGCACTAGGCCTGCTTCTGGTGCACAGTCATACATGCAGGCAAAACACCCATATGCATTAAAAAAAGCTAGAGAGTGAAGACACTCGATGTTGACCTCTGGCTTTCCCAGGAACAGGTATTTACACACATATGCTTACACACACACACACAACACACACACACACACACACACACACACACACACACACACACACACCCCAAACTGACAAACTGTTTTTTAGAATGGCTGCACCTTATTTCGTGTAGTGAAATCCACAGTACTTTGAGACAGGCAGAGTGGAAAGAAAAGCCACAGGAAAGGAGGCAGCAGAGCACACTGGATCTAGCACTAAGATGTGTGGTACTAATGGAGAGTTGGGGTGGAACTGCTATCTATAAACTGCACAGACCCCTCCACAAAGGAGTCCAACTCTGGTTACACAAATATGGGGTTCTCTCCCCAGCTGGGTGCCTTGGACACCCTTCTTCAGGGATCTCTGACCTGGTATTGCTAGCTCATGCCTAGGCAATATAATAAGGTAAGGGTGGGGAAGGGAGGAGCAGTTCCCAGACTCTACAGGAGTTGAGCCAGGAGGGAATGAACTACCAGGTAAGGATGGACTGGAGACTACCTAAGAGTCCCTGTAGTTCCCCATTCACAGATACAAGTTTTGCTAGTTATCTATGTTGAAAGAAATTAAGCATTAAACCCTGGAACTACAGAGTAAAGAAGTAAGCAGTAACTCCAGAACTGTTGCTTTCATTATGTATTTTCAATAATATTCTGATACGCTGCTCTAGTCTGAGAAGCGACATGAATTCTAATGCCTTTTTGTGACTTTTTTCACAAGCACAAATGAGTTTAATGTTGAATCTCCACCTTTGGTGTTTGGGTCCCAGAGTGCATTTGTAAGTCTGTCTTCTTCCTGACTTTTGCCCTTTCTTTCTAGAAGCTGGCTGGCATCTGACCCACCATGACACCCACAGAACTCACAGTGAGTATAGCCATGACCTCAGGTGCCTCAGAAACACCTACTCATACTTTTCAGTCTTCCCTGCATGGGGAAGGAATCCTGTGTGGTGCTCTAGGGTAAGATCTCTGTCAGCAGTGCCCATCACTATGTGGGGTATTCCTAGTCACATCCATTTTCTTTGTGGATGCAGAGTCAGCGTTGGGAGAGGCATGCTGTGAAGACATTAAATTTTAGATTTTATTAATAGCTGAGGGGTTTTGCGCTCTTTGACTAGGATGGGCTTTGTCCCCTGTGTGTTCTGAAGCTCACACAAAAGAAAGCAAACGAGAACTTACTTGATTTGTTAATAGAAGCCCTGTGGTGGGTTCTCCTTCATTCATAAAATCACACAGCCCTTTCAAAAGCATACAAAGGTATGAGAGGCCAAGAACTGAACCAAGTTTAGCAGGTCAAATCATTATCTAGATTTAAAAAAAAAATTAGCACAAAATGTAATTAAGTATAGGATGAATTAATTATAGAATCAAATCTATTCAAAGCACCTTCCAACATTTTTCTTCTGTAAAAGGGAAAATGTAAATTTTATATATAGATAATTGAAACCAAGCTTCCTTAGTGGGGCTAACAAATTTTCCTTCAAAATACCTTGTAGGTTTTCAAGGCTTACAGAATGGGGCAGCTGAATTAGGTTGTCAACAAAATTATCTATAACACACCAATATGTCCTTAGCATTGTCTGGGAATATTTATATGGTTGCACATATTGTTAATTTGATCCCAGTAAGGTGAGGAGGCAACCCTAATTTTAATCCTCAGTAGTAGAATTTGGCTCCTGGGCTCTGAGGCTGAGGGACCAATGCTGAGGAGGTTGCTTCTGATATATCCATCACTTGGTTTTCTCATTTGGGATTTTGGAAAATAGCAAAATCTATTGAAAAGGCAACGCAGATAAAAGAAGTGCCTCTCCACAGTGATGACCCTCCATGGTCAGAGAAGTCCTGATGGACCACAGGAGCCAGGTGGATTTCACTGAGACTGGGGTTCCCACACTGAATGTACTGCCTATGAAATCCTGATCTTACCTCTCTGAGGACATTACCACTCAGGTGCCGCATATGCTGCAAGCCCCTATTACTGACCAGCAAGCTGAGACTGAGAGAGTTGATGGAGGATTCGAGATCTCAAGCAAATGGAGGAGCAGATGAGAGATGTAGGGATTTTAATTCTAGCCCCACCAAAGCCTGGCTCCCTGTGCCTCTTCTGAACATGCTGTCCTCTTCAGGAGTGCTGGGGAAATCTGGATGGCCTAGGGACCCAGGATGTTGGTCATTCCTCTTTGTATTCTAGCATCTGCAGGAGGCTTTCAGCTCTTTCTCTGTGTTTGCTCAGGGACCCACCTTTCCCATCTTACTCAACTTCATGGATTCTCCAGGGCACCAGTACCTTCCCCATGCTTCTCACCAGAGACCAGACCACCTCTTGAGCTCATGTACCTTTCCTCCTTCCTCCTTCCTTCTTTTGACCCCTTACTCATTCTGCCATTAATATCTGCCTCTGTCCTGGGATACTGCATTTGTGAACCTGTGTGCCCTGGAGAAATTTCCTCCTCCATGGCCTGTGTGGAGGGGTTTGCTATTTGCTTCCAAGCTTTGGGACAATTTAAGAGTCTAATAAAGCTATTTTAAAACACCAAAACAAATAAACAAAACCAAAACAAGTACGAAAACTAAAATCCTAAACAACAAAACTCTACAAAAACACTTCACATCATTCTGTGTGGACTATCAACTATCCTTACTCATCTTCATAGTTTAACTGACATTCTTCTAAAATGTTATCCTCCCACCTGCTCTCATAGTTTAATTTCATCCCCAAAGCTCTTCTTTCTCTCAAAGTCCACTCAGGAAATTCATCTGGCTTTCCCAGGGAGCTCAGATATTTTACCTAGTCCCATGCCCAGTGTTGGCAAGGACTTTTCTGGCACTAGAGATAGGTCCTTTTGATGCTGGATTTTCAGATGACTGCATGGAGACAAGTCTTTAAATTTAAATTAAGAATTTGTGTCCCAGACATGGGGACCAATATATATAAAACAGAGAGAGGAGCTTTGCTCAGCTTTTCACAAGGAGCTCTTAAGAGGACACCTATGAAGTTCTCCTGCTATTTCCTGCCAGTCAGGGTCCAAGTAGGTTGGACTTAGCAGTGTGAGCTTCATAATTCTGCATCAACCTCCTCTTATCTACTGCTTTTAATCAGCTGATTTAGTATGTCCTGGTATCTAATAAGAACCAAATATACATGTGTGCATATGTGTGCATGCACACATACACAGAGATTATTACTCCATATTCAAATATTCAAGGAAACATTGCTAAGGAAAAATTTAAAGGACATCTCAAGAGCCTTTTATTGTGCAATTAAAAATGAAAAAAAAAGTTCTGTAGGACTTTTTCAGAGATTAATTGGGATAATTGTGACTTTCAAAGATGAAAATGCAATATTCAGATTCTCCAATATCTAACAACTGCATAGTTTAGGAAAGGCTGATTGGCCATCAGAAACATATGTGAGTTATACAGACAAAGGTAACACAGAAAGCAGAGGAATTTTATTATTCAATATGAGTATTTAAGTACATAAAAACCAATTGTACTTACATATTTACTAATATTAACTACCTAAAGCAAAACAAAACCCTCACAGAGATTATGTCTATTTCAATATAGACAAATGACTTGAAAAATTATTACACTTATCTCAAGGAAAAGGAATGCTGTGAGATTGTCCTCTCACAAAAGAAATGCAGAGAATGTCCCTCAGGGCAAGACACTGATGACTAAGAGTCTCTGTGAAATTGTAAAGCCTAATGGGAGCCCCAAAGAGAGGCTGGTAGGAGGTGAGATCATGTGGGTGTGGAATGGAGGCTTCAACAATTCAACAGTTATCATGCTTTGGACCTGTCACCCTCCTATACCTGCTATCTGCCTGTCCAGATTTCATTCATCCCCCTCCTTTAGCAGTTGTACCCACAGGAAGTACAATGACATGTAAACATATATGTATAGATATGTTTATGCATGTGTACTTGTGTGCATGAGTGTGTAGATGTTCCTGTGGGCAGGAGGGTGGGTCTATTTATGCATATGAGAGTGAGCAAGTACATGTGTGCCCCCTGTGTGTGACTGTGTGTGCCTGTCAGAACCAGTGCCTTGGGTGTGTGACCCTTGTGGTCACACAGGGGTCATGGATTTAAGAATGTCCAAACTGGGGGCTGGAGAGATGGTTCAGAGGTTAAGAGCACTGGCTGCTTGCTCTTCCAGGGGTCCTGAGTTCAATTCCCAACAACCACATGGTGGTTCACTACCATCCATAATGAGCTCTGGTGCCATGTTATGGCATGCAGGCAGACCACTGTATACATAGTAAATAAATCTAAACAAACAAACAAAAGAATGTTCATACTTGACTTAATGCTCACTATCTTGAAATTTTTAATATTTTTTTCAGCAAGGGTCCTTGGAAATTCTACAGCATTCACACTTATGTGTGTAGTTGAGAGTATCGCCATGTGTATGTGCAAATGCATGTGTAAAGATAAGTGCTGTGCTGCATGTTTACTTCTGGGGCTCTCAGGAAACTCAGAGGTGCCATGACTCCAGTAGGTTTAAGAGCTCCTGGTGATTTTTATATTTACAGATGTTGAACAGTTGGGGAAAAGGACTGTCACATGTCACAATCACTCACACAGTTCAAGTAAGTGCCCATTTGTGGTCCCAAAGTTCTCTTTTCCATCATATCAGAATACTTGTCATCCACACTACAAGTGTTCATTTGCTTCTCTATATCCTTCATTAATAAGTTAAGTTCTATGAAAGCAGAAACCAGACTCATTTACCTAGTATCTTTAGCAGTTAGCACAGTAACCAACTTAGAGATGGACAGTAAACATTTATTAAATAAACATTTCTTTCACTGGTCAATTTCTATTGTTTTAACAATATACCTTACACTGGTTTATATATAAAGAAATTCTTCTTCAGTTTACAGTTTAGGAGACTGGAGGTCTCCCAGATTGGGCAGCCTCATCTGGTCAACCTCTGGTGCAGGTTTCCTTGTTATATCACAGTATGGCAGAAAGCAACATAAAAGGAGGAATACACAGTCATATGGCAAGACAGGGAGTCAGAGAGATTCGAGGGCAAGGATCCCCCTCTTTTATGACAACCTGCTATTGCAGGAACTGGGGTCCAAAAAGAACTTATTAATGTCTTCCATGGTAGTGCCCCATTGCATAACCACCAGTAGGCCCTACCTCAAACCATGATAGTAGGTGATCAGTATTCCATAAACAGTACACACTCAAACCAAATGAAATCATAGCACAGTCTTCCTTCCAACACATAAACTCTTTTTGTTTTATCACAGAGCTTTGGCACTTGGCATTGGATCAGGTTATTCTATACCATCAGATCAGACCACTCAAAAGTTATCCTTGATTGAGCACAATCTATATTCTTTACAGAGCCGTATTCCTGGTATGTTTGATGACTACAGCTATGACTCCACTGCTTCCACAGATGACTACATGAATTTCAACTTCAGTAGTAGCTTCTTCTGTAAGAAAAACAATGTCAGGCAGTTTGCAAGCCATTTCCTTCCACCTCTGTACTGGCTTGTGTTCATTGTGGGTACCCTGGGCAATAGCCTGGTTATCCTTGTCTACTGGTATTGCACGAGAGTGAAGACCATGACTGACATGTTCCTTTTGAATTTGGCAATTGCTGATCTGCTCTTTCTTGCTACTCTTCCCTTTTGGGCTATTGCTGCTGCTGGCCAGTGGACATTCCAGACCTTCCTGTGCAAGGTTGTGAACAGCATGTACAAGATGAACTTCTACAGCTGTGTGCTACTCATCATGTGTATCAGTGTGGACAGATACATTGCCATTGTACAGGCCATGAAGGCTCAGATCTGGAGGCAGAAAAGGCTGCTGTACAGCAAGATGGTCTGTATTACTATCTGGGTGATGGCAGCTGTGCTCTGCACCCCAGAAATCCTGTACAGCCAAATCAGTGGGGAATCTGGCATTGCCATCTGTACCATGGTCTACCCTAAGGATAAGAATGCCAAGCTGAAATCAGCTGTCTTGATCTTGAAGGTCACCTTGGGGTTTTTCCTTCCCTTTATGGTCATGGCCTTCTGCTACACTATCATCATTCATACCCTGGTACAGGCCAAGAAGTCATCCAAGCACAAAGCCCTAAAGGTGACCATCACTGTCCTTACTGTCTTCATTATGTCTCAGTTCCCCTACAACTCCATTCTTGTAGTGCAGGCTGTTGATGCCTACACCATGTTTATCTCCAATTGCACTATTTCCACCAATATTGACATCTTCTTCCAGGTCACTCAGACCATTGCATTCTTCCACAGTTGCCTGAACCCAGTTCTCTATGTTTTTGTGGGTGAGAGATTCCGCCGGGATCTCATGAAGACCCTGAAGAACTTGGGATGCATTAGCCAGGCCCAGTGGGTTTCATTCACAAGAAGAGAGGGTAGTTTGAAGCTTTCTTCCATGCTACTGGAGACAACTTCGGGGGCTCTCTCCCTCTGAAAGAACTTCTCACTGAGGCCGATGGTCCTTTTGGAAATAATGAGATACATAGATGCAACATAGTCTCCTCACTGATAAGACTAAACAGAAAGTAAATAATAAGTAAATGAGAAAACAAAACAAACTAGGATGAGCCTAAACAGCTTTATCAAACTCAGTCATGATATGCCAAACAAAGTTTTCAAAACTGACCACACCAGAAGGGCACCAGCTAGTTTTTTTGGTTGTAGTAACTGCAATTCTTTGGAGGCTACTTGAGCAGCAGTGAGGGCACCCGAGCCATACACATTCTGACCATCAGTGCAGCTGGGTTCTTGAGTTTCTACAGTGCTCCACATTTCTGTTACTTCAGATCTGATGCTACTCCTCCCCAGAGGTGGCAGAGCATTGGCCACTGCCATAGTCCATAAAAGCAAGGCTTAGTGACATTTCCCACCTTGGGATATTTTCTCATTAGTCCCATTGGTGGGAAGACTGTGTTTGTGTATCTCATTACTTACAGTTTTTTAAATCTAGAACACACCCAAACAATCTGAGGTTGAATACCCTTCTGGTTTCCTTGGTCTCTTCTGGGCCAAGGAGAACCATTGTTCCTATTTTGAGCCATTTGTAAGACAGGTTGGTTGGCCCATGCACAGCTGACCACATCACAACATCAACTGGAGTCTGTTGCTCTCAGCCTACTTCTGTGTCTTGCTGGAGATGCCTTGTCCAAATCTAAGCTGCAGGCTCGATCTAGGAAGGGATCTAGCCTGTTCCCTGGTGTGATAAAGTGGCCCTCATAGACTAAGTCTGAGAATATATTTGGATAATGGGGACCTAGCATTGGCTCTGTTGGGACTTCTTCAGGGGAGAGGCACTTGCTGCAGGTTCTCCCATCTTCTCCCTGTCAGTGACATGCCCTTTCCTTCTGAGGCTTCCAGAAGGGTGTCTGCCTCTCTGCTGCCTTTCCTTACTCTGTAGCGCCAACAGCTTACAAAATTTTAACTTTAGAGAGATTAAGAAAAATATGTAATATAATTCACTTTCCACCTATGTTTTTAACTACTTTTCAAATTTCTCACATTGGAAAAAATCATTGCATATCCTGGAAAAGTGCTTTATAATGTATATTTTAAAATGTCTATCACTTGCCATTTGTTTATACCCTTTCTTAATATTATATTTGTGGGCAATTAAATATCAGACAGAAATACAGTAATTGTAAAGGGTAAGACTGTGGTAAACCTTTACTTGTTTGGATTGCCCATGTAACCAACTTTTACAACATAATGCAGAGTTATAATCTCAAGCTTTATATTCTTCTATACCCCTGACCTGAGTAATGCATGAATGATTGCATGTTTGTAATAATAATCATTTGCTGAAAACAACAAAAATAGAATATCTGCCATAAATTCTGAACACAACATATGGACTGTTAAACAATGATGTTTGCTGTATACTGTTTGTTATCTGGGTCAGCTGGAGTCTATGACTTCCCTTATAAAACTCTGTTATAGCTGGGCAGTGGTGGTGCACGCCTTTAATCCCAACTTGGAAGGCAGAGCCAGGCAGATCTCTGTGAGTCTGAGGCCAGCCTGGTCTACAGAGTGAGATCCAGGATAGGCACCAAAACTACACAGAGAAACCCTGTCTCGAAAAAAACAAAATAAATAAATAAATAAATAAAATAAATAAAAAAATAAAATAAAAAATAAAACTCTGTTAAAAATTCCTGTAAAGTATCCCTCATTACTTCCCCAGATGATGCTTTTTGTGCTGTTTAATACAGAGCAAAATCCTTTACTGGGGACAGACAGACACCACACACACACACACACACACACACACAGGGTGGGTGAGGGAGGGAGGTTCAAAAGATAGTCTTCAGGCAGGCACAGATTCAGACTCGTATCAGAGACAGGAGCGAAGAGAAAGGGAGAACAAAGTAGAGAATTAAAATCTGAGCCTGCTCTTGGTAAAATGACACCAAGAGGAAGGGCTTTGATTTCTTTCCTTAATGCACTGAAACATTGGTGACTCTGAGTTTATTACAAATGCAATCAAACCAATGACACTGATGCATAATCAAAGAAGATTGTGGTTGGTTAAGGTACATACAAATAAGACACAAGGCTGTGGAAAGAGCATGTAGACAAAACTATGCCAGGAGTCTCAATTATTGTTGCACTAAATTTAGTGGCATAAACAACAGCCCTTTCCCTTTGCTGTTTTGTAGGTAAGGAATTTAGGAAAGGACTCACTTGCATAGATCTAGCTTGGGGTATCTCATGCAGCTACAGTCAAATAAAGGTTAGGGCTTTGGCCACTTGAGGCTTGAATGGGAGGGCCAATCTAAAGTCAAAGGGAAGAACCTCTTACGAAAAGTGGGTCAAGTAAAACAACATTATTGCCATGTTTCTTAAAAAAATTATTAATTCTTTGGGAATTTCATACAACATATTTTGATCACATCATCTCCACTCCTCCAACTCCTCCCAGATCCACTCCCACCTCTATACCCCCAGCTTCATACTGTCTTTTTAAAAAAATAAACCATGGAGTCCAATTTGTGCTACCCTTTTGTTCTAGGTGTGGGGTCACCCACTCGAGCATTACTGACAAATTAGGAGCCACATCCTTAAGGAAAACAGACTCTCCCTCCCCCAGAAGTCACTAACTGCCCAGCTTCTTAGTTGGGGTGGGGTCCTAAGTCATGAATCCTTTCCCACCCTATGCTAGAATGTTGCTTGTTGATTCTGTGCAGGTCTTACGCAGACAATTACAGCTGCTATGAGTTCATGAGTGCACTGGTTCTGTCATATCCAGAAGACACTGTTTTGCTTTGGTCCTCTGCAATCTCTGACTCTTACAGTCTTTCCTCTATATCTTCTGAGATGATCCCTGTGTGATATTGTGTCCCCCAATATATTGTGCACCCTAATAAACTTATCTGGGGTCAGAGAACAGAACAGTAACTAGATAGACATAGAGGCCAGAAAATGGTGGCACACACACCTTCAATTCTAGCTTTCTGGAGGCAGAGATCCATCTGGATCTCTGTGAGTTCAAAGTCACACTGGAAACAACCAGGCATGGTGACACACACCTTTAATCCCAGCACTTGAGATCTCTTGTCTTGCTTGGGAAAGACAAATGCCTTTAATCTCAGGAAGTTATGGCAGGAAGCAGAATGGTATATTAAGGCGTGAAGACCAGGAACTAGAAGCTTTTAAGCTTTTAGCAGCAGTTCAGCTGTGATCCATTCAGTTGAGGACTCACGAGGCTTTCAGTCTGAGGAAACAAGATCAGCTGAGGAATTGGCAAGGTGAGGTTGGATATGGCTTGTTCTGTTTTTCTGATTTTTCAGCATTCACCCCAATATCTGGCTCCCATGTTTTTTTTTTTATTAATAAGAACCTTTAAGATTCATGTTACATCCCTGAGTCTTGAGGGAGGGGGGTGATATAGATACCCCTTTTATGGTGGAGCACTCCACTGATACTTACTCTGTATTTTGACCAGTCGTTTCTGCATTAACCACCATCCAATGCACAGAGAAATTTTTTTCTGATGAAGTCTGAGAGCTGCACTAGTCCATGGGTAGGGAGACATGAATTTACAGGCCAGTTTGAAACTGTCCATTTAGCAGAATAATAGTGATAGGCTCACCCCTGAGGCCTGTGAGCTCCCAAAATATGGGTCCTTGGCCAGACTTACAGGACCAGACATATTCTTCTTCTTGTAAAGTGGGCCTTAAATTTAATCAGAAAGTAGTTGGTTACTCCCATAGTATTTGTGCCACTACTGCATTTACAGAAATATATTGTCATTATTGCAGTTCATAAGGTTCACAGATGGGTAAGACTTGATGACTCTCTGTCCCTGGTTCCCCTCTCCTACTCTGCATAACCTCCAAAGAACCTTTCAATACTATGAGAAGTAATGGACATATTTTAAAATTATCACATGCTAACTTACTCACTGACTTCAATACTTGTGTTTCCCAATTGTTCATCCACTAATGCAAAGAAAGAGACAGAAGCAAAGAGAGGGGGCTAGTAGGTGTAGTTTTTTTTTTTAGGTTTTAAAACTTTATTCTGCACTTTCAAGTCACAGAGTCAGAATTTTGGTGTGTATTAAAACCCGCGATCATTTCTATGTCACCTGGAGATTTCTCATTGGCACAGTTTCTGACCTGTGCTTGGAAATTCAGGGTCGCAAAAGGCTGTGCATGGATAAACACATGCACATGTGTTTGACCTGTGCATGGTCCCCCTGCTCCAAACGGTTCAAGATCCAGCCACACAGACACGGAACACTGAAAATGATCTGGGTAGAAGTCACTGTCTTTGATATTCTGTACATGAAGAAAGGAACGACTGGATTCCCCACAACACTGCTTGTCATTCCTGGTCTGCAAGGTAAGATCTGGGTTGAAAATTCAGCCCGAACTTCAAAGAGGACAGTGATGTCCAGAGGAGAACTTGGAGCTTGTGGTAACTAGTCAGGCAGCGGGGCACGTGTTTTCCTTGCTGGCACGGGACAGCGGCAGTCTTTAGTAGACAGTGCACCAGTTGCTGCCGTCACTAGGCATCAGCCCTCCAGTGATGAGCAAAATGAGGTCCACAAACCACCAGATCCCAAGTCCCCCCAGTGTCAGCAGCTTCCCTACGGCTGTGCCGGTGTGTCCCAGACAGAAGCGATCGACGCCGAAACACCCCAGGAAGGAGTAGAGCAACGTGGTTACGAAGTAGTGTCCCGTGTACTTTATACAAGGCTTATTCTCTCGTAGAAAGGTCCGGGGGCTGGCACACTCAATTCCATCCAGGGCTCTGCACTGGACTGAAGTGTGTTCCACATCACTGTAGGCCTGACCCCCAAACTTGAGACAACCATAACCAAGCACCTGGGACGCAGTTGCATTTCCAACGTGATCCACTGGGGCATCACAATCTACAAACTCGTCGGGTAGGTCAGAGCAAAGGATGACCGGAGAGTGGGGATCGCTGTATTCCCAGGTCGGGGGTGCGGGACCCTCGGGGTGAGCGGCGCCTGAGGGTGTGAGATCCACTTTGGCCGTGGCGTTAAACGAGTGGCTCCGAGAGACACAGTGCAGCAGCAGCAGGTTCCCCAGCAGCAAGGCTGCCTGGCCGCACAGCAATAGGTAACTCACAGGGCAGCCCCCCAGCACCATCTTCCCGGGCCGGTCCCAGAGACCTGGCCTCGTAGGTTTTTTTTTAATAAAGTAATAATAACTTTCATATTTCAGCACAGAGTGGCTTGGTTACTTATCCCAAGACATAGTGAGTACCAGAAGATCAATTTATGCCTTTGTGATACTTGACCTTGTGGAGACTCTATTGCACTTTCTCTATCCTGGAAGAAGTGCTTTTAAAAAGCACTTAGCTCTTCTGGTCAGTTTACAGTATACCCATCAGTGGGGTGTAGCTCTCTTACCATACAGGCCCTGAGTCAGAAGAACAGGATGGCTCTATGTGGACTATTCCATAAGAAAGAGAGCAGGAACCTTACTGAGTTTCTTCATGCTGTCAAGCTTGCTGAGTAAGTGACCCCCTTGGGAATGTGGAGACATTAAAAGCTGGGTCTTGCATTTAAGTCCTTATTCCATTTTGAACTGATTTTGTATATGGTAAGAGATGATTTTTGCTGGTGGCCATGTCAGAGGAAGAGCAGGTGACAATTGAAGTTCAAGGTGTCAGCCCACCAGGAGGCAAATTCCTGATGGGTGACTCTTGGATAGGCAAGGTCCTGAGACTACAGACCCCAGAATGTCTTTTGCTTCTGCTGTGCCTTTACATGTTTGCTGCTACCATTTTTTTTCTGGTATCTGGCATGGTGTCAAGGGGTGTGGGGAGATCCCCACTGCCTGTAAATGTAGTGTCTTTATCTCAAGGAAATATCCCATTCTACTGGGCATTTTTACCTGTGAATTATTATGAAGATGATTTCTTCCTAAACTGTACTGTTTAACTGAAACAATGATTTTATACAGTAATAATGTTAGTTTAAATAGGATTTTGATGATTGAGGGATCTTAATAAATATAGTAAGGGATTAAGATAGAGGTTAGTTTAGTGGAAAAATTAGCATAGGTAAAGGTAGGGTAAAATGTTGCCCTTGTCTCTGATAAAGTGGAGGCTGCAGAGGATAAAAAATGAAACAAGGAAGTGTCACACAGCTAGAACACATGAGTTTCTACTGAGGAGCCATAAAGACTGTGGCTTAGGTTAATGATTAAGGAAAACAATTGAGTCCTAGTAGCCCAGCTAGTTCAAATTCTTTTAATCTTAATGTTGGGAGGTATATTCACAGGTTTCAGAGTGCACCATAGCTGAAACAAAGCTTTGAAAATAACTTAAAGTTAGATCAAGATGTTTTTGTCAAATAGCTGTGAGGTGAAAAACCCAAGAAGACAATCTAAAAAGTTTTAGAAAGGCATATAGTTGAATGAGAAACTCATTAAGGTCAGGGAACAAGAACAAAGCAGCCCAATTATTATTAGCTGATGCACCTTTCTTGCTAGGATTGGTTGATGACCAAAGGTGATGATTAATTCCATCTGCCCTCAATCTTCTGATATAAAAAACAACTGATGAGTGGGTATGTCCCCTAAAGATTTAAAGTAGAGCTGACTGATTATTTTCCATGCATAAAAGTTTAGGTTTGTGATACCTTTAAAATTCCTTATAAGATTACCTTTTAAGATAAAAAATAAAGTGATTGGTTCTTTCTTTGCAACCACAAAATGCAGCATGCCAGTAAAAGAACTGGCTGAGAAGAATACCTTGCTTGCTTACACTGTTAATCGATAACAAATTGCTTGGATATGAATGTACATGGGTTCTTGAGACAACTTGTTTTTCACCTGTAATATGTAAAATGTTTATGTAAGGGATATACTTACATACTGTTTTTAAATTGTGTGCATTCTAATAATTCACTTGAAAAATTCAATGTAACCACACTGAAATTTTTATATTGCCTGAAAGATTTTGCTGGGGTATATAAGCTGTAAGGGAAAGAAAAAAGATACTTAGAGTTAGAAGGAAAACATCAAAAATAGTTAGAAGGAAAACATCAAGAATAAGAGAAGGCAATCACAAGGCACATAAAGAATAGAGAATGCAAAAGAATAAAGAAAAAGTCTGAAGGAAACCATCAAGAGTGTGTGTGTGTCTTTTTCCCTTACCCCCTCAGATACAAACATTGTAGTAGGACGACTCCGAGGATTTCCTTTGAGCCCAGGCTGGCCCCTGGGCAGCAGCAGTTTTCCTTCTTCCACATGTCACTAAGTTTCCTGGATATTTACGGATATTGTCCTTTCCTAAATTTGTATGCCCAGTTTACAGTTCAGAACAAATTTTGCTGAAAACCATTTGGATGTAAATACACTGGTTTATTCCTAGGTTCTCTACTCTGTGCCATTGTATCTATACTTTTTACATTAGTACCATGCTATTGGATTACTATTTCTTTGTAGTACTTTTGTGTTTTGGTTAAGAGAGGATGTCTTGCTATGTTGTCTAGGTTGTTCCCAAACTCCTGGACTCAAGTGATCCTTCTGCCTTAGCTTCCTAAGTGGTTGGGTCTGCAGATATGCACAGAGTGAACCCTGCTTGGAATAGGCTTTGAAGTTGGATAGTGTGATGACTTCAGCTTTGTTCTGTATATTCTGCTGTGGACATATGCACTCTTTTGCAGTTCCATATACATTTAAGACTGCTTTCTGTTTTTATGAAGGAGTCATTGACACTGAGATTGGGGTCATATTAATACTACAGATTACTTTGGGTAGTATCAACATTTCAACAATAGTCATTCTCCCAGTTTATGAACATTTACTTTTGCTCTCCTCAATTTCTCTCATTAATATTTTTATTGTGAGAGCGTTTATTTGTTTGGTTAACTTTTATTACTAGGCTCTTTTGTTGGGTAATTAGTGTAAAAAGATTTACTTTCTTGATTTTCTTTTCAGATAATTCATTATTTGCATATAAAAATACTACTTTTTAAAAAGAGGTTCTCATTATGTAGTCCTGGGTGGCCTTAAATTTATGGAGATCTACCTGCCTCTGCCTCCAGATTAAAGGGATTAAAGGCATGTGCTGCTCCACCCAAAATACTAATTTTTATGTTGATTTAAGAAAATAATATAAAAATGTACTTAAGGATCTGATTGTCTGTATGCATGTACGTGTACCCTGTGTGTGTATGATTTTCATGGAGGTCAGAAGAGGACCTTGGATTCCCTAGAACTGGATTTGTAGATAGTTGTGAGCCACCATATTGGTGCTGGAATTGAACATGTGTCCTCTGAAAGAGCAGCAAGTGCTTTTTACCACTGAGTCATCTCTCAAGTCCCATATGCTGATTAAAAAAAAATACTGCAACTTAAACTGTTTAATATATTTGTTTTAATAGCCTAACTAGATATATATCTAATGGAGTTGAAATTACCATTTGAAAGAGTTCTCTTCTGTGTTTATTGAAGCAGGATTCATAATGGCTAAGATACATACTCAACATAGGTATCCACAAACACATGCATGGATACAGAAAATGTGGTAAATTTACATAATGAAATAAAAAGAGCTGTGGTTGTACTGGGTAGCTGTTCCAGCTTTGTCCTGGAAGTACTACCTCCATTGAGGCTTCCGGTGACTGTCACGCCTAAGAGGCGGGGCCGAGACAGGAGTGCTTAAGACCTGAGATCCAGAAGTACTGGCTCTCTTGGTTCCTGGATCCTGGACGCTGGAGGCAGACCGAGCAGAGTTCTCCAGAGAACACCGCAGGACTGCGCTTCACCTTTCCTGGACCCTGTAACCTATTCCTTCACTTGTAAGTTACCCCACAAAATAAACCTCCCTTTTAACTAAGCGGAGTTGCCTTAATATTTCAACCAATATGTGGTAACTTGGATGAGTCTGTAGGACACTATGACAACTGAAAAGAACTAAACACAGAAAGACAACTACTGAATAATTTAATAGGCAAGACTCTGGCCACTGTAGTTATTCAGCTGTGTTGTGGGTAGGATGAGCATTTTGACCTGAACATCCCAGATACAGCATGCAAGACTGGGTGCCTTGTGTGGTCCATGTTCTAGTCCCCACCCCAGAGTCCAAGTCACTGTTCTATTAGCCAAGGAATGTCTCTGCTGTCTCATTTGAGGCACCTATATAAACCTACCTTCCACTTCACACAGTCACTACAGTTAGAGCTGTGGTTTGAAGGCATCTTAAACGTAAGAGTCTTCAGTGAAGCTAGGTATGGTATATAACTACATCCCAGCACTTGGGAGTTTGAGGCAAGCTTTGGTTACACATTGAGACCCTGTCATCACACACATACACACACAAACACACAAACGAATAAGTGACAATACCATGCTCACTCTTCCCACAACTCTGTCCACAGTCTTTCTTCAGTTGTCTCCAGCAGAGTTGGTTGGCCAGTGTGATTGTTGAAAACCTTTTTGCTAACCTAAGGCATTGGGACTGACTAGGATCTTTGTTGGTGCAGTGTTCTTTTAGCCCCCTTTTTTGAGCTTATTGCTTCAGATGGTGGGGGATAATAAAGGTGAATGGGACAGAGTTCCTTGCCCTCAAGGGAGAACCAGAGAGTTATAGAAAACGTCAATGAGGGCTGGAGAGATGGCTCAGAGGTTAAGAGCACTGACTGTTCTCCCAGAGGTACTGAGTTCAATTCCCAGCAACCCATGGTGGCCTACAACCATCCATAATGAGATCTGGTGCTCTCTTCTGGTGTGCAGACATACATACAAACAGAACACTGTATACATAATAAATAAATAAATCTTTAAAAAGAAAACGTCAATGATTCAAGTAGCAACCAGAGGAAATCTAGGGGAGGGGAAGATCAGAGGGAGGGACTGAGACAGGCACTTGACAGTGTTCTTTGAGGCATGGGATTCTCAAGAGATGGGGTCTCTGGTCATCTCAAGAGTTAAGGTGCTGAGCACCAGTTCAGGAACAGTGCAGGAGTGAGCAGCTCTCACTCTCTCTCGGCCTGTCTCTAGCCTCCTTGTTGATGAGCAAATATAGCACACACACTGGTGGGAGTGCTGTTGTTTCTCTGCAAGGCATCAGTGCCACATGCTTACTGACAATAAGCTAAAAGCTATCCGTGGCCTTTTTTACTTCATTATTTTGGCAGGTTAAAAAGTTTGTTGAGTACTCTGATACCATTAGAGAGGAGCTGGAGCCATATGAATGGCAGAGGAGGGTAGGTGGAAGGAATTGCAGGTTTAGGCAGGTCTCAGTACCATTCCCAGAGAGGACTGGGGAGTATCAAATGCCAGAAGACATCTGCTACTTACACTCTCTTCTGCAGGGTCCCTGTGAGATGTTCTGCTTCCTGCTGGGTAGCTCTGTCACTCATTTTATGATTTATTCTTGTCAGAGGAATGAAAGACAATGTTACTCCAAATGCCATAGTGTTTGCTTTATTTAAAACCTGAGGTTAAAAAACATTTCCAAATGGCATAGCAGATATTATTAAAGGAGTATATTCAATGATACCAAAGTCTCATCCCTTTGTGCAGATGAAGTGATGGTGTTTGATGTGCTTCTGAGTAACTCTTTGGCAGATAAGAATAAAATGGGTTCCCTGACCCATTATCTCATAAGGCCACACAAAGTGAGGATTAATGAATTAAAGTGCACTCCAATTGTTAAGCCTTCCCAGAGAGGCTCAGTGTCACTGCAGTCACCAAAAGCAGAACACCTAGATTAAACACACATCAAAAAGCTCTAAAAATGCCCCTTGACCAGAGAGGTCTCCTGAAATTTAAAAAGTGCTTGAGAATGAAAAGGAAACTTTGAATTAACTTTCCTGTTTTGTTAGAAGATTTAGGTGAGATGAGAAAATTGTGCTAAGATTCTACCAAGTAGTGTTTGTTTTTGTAAATGTGAACAGCATTCAATGGTCTTTGCATTGCATTCCCTGGTTCTGAGCACCAAAGATGGCTCCTCTCTGCCTCCTTTTCCAAAATCTCTGAGCTAAGAATGTTTTCTCAGTATAAAGAATTCTCACAGATAGAACCACTGAGTCTGAGTTGATAAACAAAACCCCATGAACAGCAAACCATATCTGCAAGATTTCTTTTTGGGCCAGGAGTGGCTTGAGACCTGGGGAACAACTGAAACTGTTATTCAGAAATAACACCTTTATTTATATATGGCTCTTCACTTCTACTTCCCAAACCATATGGAGATTTTCAGTTCTAGATTTCTGCTTGAGAATCCCTTTGCCTTCTCGGTCCAGGGCTAGCTGGAATCCAGGGTGCTTATGTCAGCAATGCTCTCCAAGTCCACTCAGACATGGAAGGCCACTCTGTCTCAGACATGCTTCCCTGTGTCTGGGTGGCTAGTTTATTTTTTGAGTGAAGTCTAGTAGTGGCTTCAGTGGCACTGGTAAACAGGCAGCTGGTAACACTACTAACATGACTGTTATGAGGGAGCTGAGTTATTAGAAAAAGGATGACCCAGGATCTCAAGGGTGTTTCCTTATGATTTTTAGTGTAACTAAGTCCAGCTGGGCCACCATCTTCCTCAGTGATCCTTTAATTGTCACTTGCATTTTTAAAAAGTTACTCTAATAACTAAACCTCATTAAAATTGGGAACTACTTAAAATAATAAAGCTATGTGTGAAAGGCACACTTACACAGGGCCAAATGTTCTCTGGTGACCTAGTGCTCAGGAGCATTAACAGTGAACTAATAGAGAATACAGTACAAAGTCCATTCAGCACAAAAATAAATATACTATCAAAGATAAAGAGTTGGTAAGCGCCTACTGGAGCACTAGGCAGTCGGCACTGAAGCCTCTCACCTCAGTTCTGAGTTGGCTTCATAAGAGCCACGTGGGTCTCCTGGTAAGTGACAGAGGTTCAGGATAAACTCAGATGGAAGGCCTCAGGCCCCTTCCAGGCCACCAATACAACAGCAACTCAGTGAAGGGTGGCTCTTGATGCAGATGGTGGCAGTGACACCAGCATAAGGCCATGAGCTTGGCCAGTGTCTCTAACATACCCTGGAAAAGCCAAGTAATAAAAATGAGATCCTAGTTGGTGGTTGGATGCTATTGGCCTAGTGAACAAGCTGGCTTCAGTATTCCATTTGCAAGAGGGTAGAAGGTTCAAAGGCAAGAAGATTTGGTCTTCAGCAATCTCAGGCCACATACAGACCTACAAGGACCCATGTCAATCTTCAAAGACTCAGGGGCATATGCTGGCCTCACATCAAAAAAAGTCGCCAACAAAGGTAAATTGGTAGTGGGAGTAAAAAAGGGCCACAGAGAACAGAAAGCTATCTAAGCTATCTGTCCTAGAAAAGGAAAGAGTAAGCTGTCTGCAGTATCAGATATGAGGTCATGAGCAGGATGTAGGCAAATGGGGAGGGAGTGACTAGCAGATGGAGGCCAAAAGGAAGTTATACCTTGTTCTTCTGCTATGTTGCTTCTTAAGTTACCAAAGACTTTTTTAGAAAGGTTCCAGGTATTGAAAGTGGTTCTTAACTGGCTCTACTCACTAGTAAACAGCTGTCTTCAGGTGGGGCAGAGACTCTGGTGTTTATATACAAAGATGGGCTATGGGCTGACACATGAGCTCTGAGGCCAACCTGAGTTCACTATAGGGAACTTGGCCCATTTTTCTACTCCTGCCATCCATATGCAGAGCTGAAGCCTTCAGGTAGTGGCTGCTCTTTCCTAGACCTCTAGTTGGTTCCTGTGTGTGTGTGTGTGTGTGTGTGTGTGTGTGTGTGTGTGTGAGAGAGAGAGAGAGAGAGAGAGAGAGAGAGAGAGAGAGAGAGAGAGAGAATTTAGAGCTGCTGAGCGGTCAGGCTGAGCAAAGGCCCAGAACAGACAAAGGCTCAGGAAGACAGCACAGGTCAGGCCTCCCCAAAATTGCTGAGTGGGAGAAGCAGCCTCTACTTATGGATAAATTAAGGGAAAGGGGCATCTCTCACATGATGACCCTATGGCCTCCTTCTCTCCTGGGACTACCAAAGGATTCACAAAGTGAATCTTGGCCTGAAAAATACCACAGCAGATTGTTACCAACTGTGATCCCAAGTGAGGCCAATGGTATCCTTAGAGTATAAACATTTGGCAAGGTGTCCCTTTGAGTGAGAAGATAGCTGAGTCTCATATCTGGTCCTCAGGAGCCCTGGGAACAGAGAGTGATGGCTGCATGGAACCAAGTACCCTGTGAGACTTGGCAGAGTGGTTTCTGATGCAGCCCAAGGCCTCTGTCAGAGCTGGTGAGCTGGGGTACAGCTGATTTTCTTTCCTTTGTTTCTAATTTTTTAATTTTTAAAATTTTGTGTGTGTATGAGTATATATGTTTAATGAGATGGGTGAGGAGTAGTAGTGTTTCCTGTGGATGTTGAAGAGCTATCAAAGTTCAGGTACTGATGTTATGGGAAATCGCTTCCATCGTAGATCACAGGCCGGTCAACAGTCAGGTGGTAAAACACCTTTTTGGAGATAAATCTGAAGAAACAAAAATGGAAAATGAAGGTGTTACTTTTAGTGAAGACCAAGGGTGGCAGCTGCTACTGTGGCCTCATGTCACTGATTGGGCTTGGCAGGATGTAGAAGTCGAAGTCTCCAGAGAAACAGCTTTTGGGAACTGGGCAACTCATGGACTGTTTTAGTGTTCCTTGGTTCCCTATCCCCATCTTCTGCCTGTCTAGTCTAGTAAAGTTCTCTCCCTTCAGGAGGTCCAAGTACTGTCATTATGGGCTTCCTAGGGCTTGAGTGAAGAGTGGGGCTGTAAGTCTTTGTTCTCCCTAGCTGCTCAGAGGTGCCAGTGGTCAGAACAGCATGGGAAGATGGACTGGGTGCCATAGGAGGTCACAGCAAAAGCCAGAATGTACGTCAAACCCACTGGACGTTTGTATCAGTTCTGATTTCCATATGCCATAGACAGAGATCATTCTCCAGAGCCTTATACTACTCCAGGTTTTCCAGGAGCCTGCTAGAGACTGCATGAGGCCCTTGTCACACCTCTCTCTGGACCCACAGCCAGGCTCAGTGATGCACTGATAGTTCGTAGGGTCATTACAGAAAAAGAAATGGTTAACTAGAGCTGCATCAGGAAGAACAGGGCTTGGCTACATAGGCACTGACCCTCTCCTAACCCTGTCCCCTACTGCTAGTGCTGCTCACCCAGATGAAGACTCCACAGACAGCTTCCTGGAAAGGCTGAGCATACTCTAAAGTCCTACAGATTTAGGCACAGTTCTATTACCCAGGGCAACACAGAACAAGTGGGAAGATTACTTCCAGCCTCTTGGGTTATATACAACCCTGTCCATAGGCCTGAGAGCTCAGGACCTGAGGAGCTGGGGTAGAATATGGGAACACCTTTGCCTAGAGTATCCTATCAAGTCACTCTATTAAAAGCCAAATGACTATGAGGGAGAAGGTAGTCACAGCCTAGACAGGTCTATTTCAAGAAAGGTGCTATGGGATAATGCTTTTGTACACTGGTTTAATAAAATGCTGTTTGGCCAATGGTGAGGCAGAATAGGGTTAGGCAGGACATTCTAACTAGAGAGGAGGAAGGAGAGAGGCAGAACAGAGGACACTGCCAACCGCTGCCATGAGAAGCAAGATGTAAAGATACCGGTAAGCCATGAGCCACATGGATTTATAGAAATGGGTTAATTTAAGATGTAAGATCTAGTTATCGAGAAGCCTGAGCCAGTAGGCCATACTGTTTGCAATTAATATAAGCCTGTGTGTTCATTTGGGTCTGAGCAGCTGCGGGACCATGAGGCGCGGGAACTGGGTGGGCAAAGGAAAACTTTCAGTTACAAGCCCCCTGTGAAGAAGCTATCTGGAAACCAGAAGCCATTCCTAGGGACAGATGTCTCGACTTGTGCACATGACAGATGCTGTCTGTATGGCTGCTCTGTCCTGTTCCCTTTTCTAGTCATCTGCTTACCATTCCTTTTTGTATTCTCATGCTGACTACTCCTGAGATCAGACCCCCTTGAGCCTTCAGCTGACCCTCAGTACTACCTGAAGTAACTGAGGAGCTCAAGATGGCAAAAGGTTGCTCCTGTGATATACAACATGGCTGTTGTGAAATATTAGTTTAAGATGTGTTACATTCACTTATGTTTGTGGAATATTTGCTTAATGATGCAAAGATGTGTTTCATTCTTTTATGTTGCAATTGTTTAGCTCTGTAAAGCTGTGTTACTTTGCTTGCCTAAAACGCCTGATTGGTCTAATAAAGAGCTGAATGGCCAATAGCTAATCAGGAGCGAGAAACAGGTGGAGCTGGCATGCAGAGAGAATAAACAGAAGGAGAATAGAAGAGGGAGGAGTGAAAAAAGGAAGAGAGGACAACACCAGGGGCCAGCCACCCAGCCACACAGCAAGCACAGAGTAAGAAGGAAAGAAAATTATATAGAATAAAGAAAGGTAAAAAGCCCAGAGGCAAAATGTACTAAAAGAGAAACAGGATAATTTAAGTTAGAAAAGCTGGCTAGAAATAAGCCAAGCTAAGGCTGGGCATTCTTAAGTAAGAATAAGTCTCCATGTATTTATTTGGGTGCTGGGTAGCAGGCCCCAAAAGAATAAAAAAAAAAAACCCAGCTGTTATGTGATATTTTGTTTGTGTTCTGACAAATAAAGCTGGCCTGGAGATCAGAGGGTGGAGCTAGCTACTAGTTAACCATAGAGGCCAGGTGGTAGAGGCTCACTCCTTTGATCCCAGCACCTGGGAGGCTCATGCCTTTGACCCCAGCATTTAGGAGGCTCATGCTTTTGATCCAAGTACTTGGGAGGCTCACGTCTTTAATCCCAGCACTTGGGAGGTGGAGATAGGAATATAAGGTGGGTAGGGACAGGCTCTCACCCCCTTTTTGGTCAGAGGATTCATAGAGGTAAGAAGTCTCTAGTGGCTGCTGCTCTGCTTCTCTGATCTTTCAGCATTTACCCCATATCTGACTCCTAGTTTTTATTGATAAGATCATGCTTCATTAACGACACATGGCCTAGAGGTGTTGTCTTTTTTTTTTTTCTTTTTCACTCATGCACTCTTAGCCTTTCCTCTGGATTTATCAGGGTCCTTTTATGGCTTGGCAGTGGGGACTCACCTGAGAGAGGTGAGCACAACTGGGATGAGTCTAGCCTAGAGCCGAGTGCCTGGTTCAGGTCTGCACCTCCCCCCCTAGTTGGCCATATGACCTGGAGTGTCACTATTCCACACACCAGTCTTTGGCCCTGTAGAAAAGGAGGAAGTTGTATGGCAATAGTTGAGTGGTTTGTATATGGTAAGAACCTCTAAGTGTTGGCCTATGGCTGCAGTTTGAATGAGAAATGGCCCCCATATTTGAATACTTGGTCCCTGGTTGGTGGTGCTGTTTAGGGAGGTTGTGGAACTTTCAGGAAGTGAGGCTTTGCTGAAAGAAGTATGTCAGTGGGGTGAGATTTGAGAATGTGTAGCCTTGCTCTACTTCCAGTTTGCTCTCTTTGTTTCCTGCATGTGATCTGTCAACTTCCTGTCCTGGCTGCCTGCTGCCATTATGGACTCTCCCTCTGAAACTAAAAGTCCAGTTAAACGCCTTCTTTCTTTAGTTGCCTTTAATCATGGTGTTTTATCCTGCAACAGGAAAGTAACTGACAGACCTGCTTTATAAAACTTACCATGAGCGGTGAAAACAGCAGGAGTCTAAATTATAGAATCACTAACGAAAAACTGTGACAACTAAGTCTTGATATTGAGTGTCTGCCTCAGTGCTAGAGAATAGGAGCAATGATGTACAGAGACAGGTAGACCCATGAGATGCCATGACTGAGGTACCTACCTGGAAAAGGTATTGTCAAAGATAAGCAAGTAGATGCCAGGGGTTCGGACCTTTAGCTGGCCCCGGATACTCTCCTTGTGGGAATTGCACCGAGTGGTGGGAATGAGGACCTGGCAGGGAGAGCAATAAGAAAGCATCACAGAAGCTGAGGGCCTGTGAGTCCTCTATGCAAGCTGAATGAGGTAATAGCTGTAGAGGGCTGGGACTAAAACTTGGCCCCAGCAAGGATGGGGTGTCACCTATCCCACTCACTGTGGGGAGATAGTGGGTATGTGTTTCTTCCAGAATCATGAACCAGTCCCCAGCATCCTTGACCACACTAGTGCCAAGCTATTCCAGCATTTGGAGAAGTTGAACTTTCATGCTTTTAGGAAGACATTCTAAATGTCCATTTGACCAGTTGCCTTGTGTAGGTCCTAGTGCTGTCCTTAGGACACTGAGTCCTCTTTCCAGATGATGACATTCAGGCTTTCTATAAAGCTCCTGGGCCTACCCTCCTCCAGGAAAGACAGCCCCAAATCCACCCATGATCTCTCACATGGCATCACCACAGGCCCTTCTCTTGGACGGGTCCTGGCTGGTCCATGTGATCTTTCCAAGTCTAATTCTTAGCCTCCTGTGTATTCTCTCAAAAATCACAAATTTATCCCCTAAGGGCAAATCTGGGCATACAGCGTATGGACCAGGGCTAGTCCTTGGATGGTCAACATCATCCCCATGGAGGCAAAGTCTTCTACCTGATTATCAGCTAAAGCACAGGCCTAAACTTAAAACTGAAGTTATATGGGCTAGCAAAATGGCTTGGTAGGTAAAAGAGCTTGACTTGCAAGTCTGACAACTTGGAAACCATGTAAAAAGGTGAAAGGAGGGAACTGACACTATAAAGGTTTCTTCGGATCTCCATGTACAAGTCATGAATGCATTCCCCCTCCCCCTCAATAATAAAGTGAAACAAAACAAAACTGAAGATGTGACAGGAACAGATGACCAGTATTCTAGTTTGTTTCCTTCCTTCTCTCTTCCATCTTAGAGGGTGTCTCCCTCAGTGCCCTACACTGTTCACTTAGCAAAGCCTACATGTAAAGTGTTAAACAGACCATCAGCTCTATATAGACCACTTTGAGCTCCTAATATTGGCAAATGACATCAGAAGTGACTATTTTTTTCACCCCTTTTACTCTGCAATAAGACAGTCTCACTCAGTGTGGCCTTCACTGTAGACACAGGGGTCCCTTTCCAGTTGTAACTATAATGCCTACCTACCCACATTGTGATTTCTAGCTGGAATCATAGGTGTTTATTTTTTTCAGGTCTCTCTCTGTTTATACCTTAAAATGCTTCAAGGATAGATTTGGGTGTCATCCTATATCTCTTTGTCCCTAGTAGACTCTACAGAATGTGGGACACAGCAAGAGCTCAACTATTAGTTGTCCAAGGATCCAGCAAGGTTCCTATGTGTTGTTATGAGACCTATATATGGCCATCTGTTTTCTGAAAGGCACAGGCTGGTCAAGAGCATGTGAGAAGTCCCGTGACTGGTACTAAAGATGTAGACCTAGAAATAGGCTATTTAGGTTCATGACTTTTCAGGGAACCACAGGCAGAGAAAATAGCATCCTTTATAGCTGACTGGTGACCTGGGCCTGGAAGGGCAGAGGAGCAGCTAAGTATCCTAGACATGAGATTTTTCTGCCCCTCTGTTCATTGTGGTCATTAAAGACAGTGGTGGTCATTAAACCCAGGAAGGACACCTTGCAAGTCTAAGACAAGGCTGGCTGAACCAGGTCTCTAAGCTCCATCCATCATGAGGATTGGTGGGTAGATAACAGAGCAAGGAAGAAGCCCACAGCTCAGAGACACTCATAGAATTAAGGGCCTAGCACCCGAGGTTTGCAGGAGGACTCTGACAGTAGAGGATTTCAATTGCTGATGCTTCATCTGGCCTACTGGTGCCAAACACAGAGACATGAAAGCTGCTGAAAATAAGCACTGAAGAGCCGCTTGCCTACCCATGACTGATTTCTATTGAGGTAGAGCAAATAATCCTCTGCCAGTTGACGGCCATTAACTGCCTAAAATTCACTTTTTGTTCCAACCTACTGTGTCTGACAGGTTTACCACTCCTTTCTCTCAGAATTCAAATACAACTTGGATTTCTACCCTTCATTATTCTCTTCTGCCTTACAAACATGGGAACTCAGATGCTGGGCATGGGAATTCCTCTTTCTCACCTCACAGTGAATCAGTACCCTCCGAGCTCTAGTCAGCCCTTGTCTTATGACTTGTATTCTACCCAGCCCCTTTGTGGCTCTGAACTACTCAATTGGGGCTGCTCAGTGGAGTTGCTGAGGGTGCTTGCATTGTATTCCTGATACCTTGATTTGGTGGTCTGAGCTTTGGCCTAAGGATTTTGATTTAAAGTCTCTCCCTGGGTTTCTTAGTATATAACCACATGATTGAGAACTGCAGTTCTGCACTGACAACATTTTACACCTAGAATAGCCTGGATTTTATAAAGCTCAATTGCCCAAGTCATACTGGGGCCATCTTTGCTGTTGTCTTTGTAGGTAACATATGGAACATTCATATTGAATAATTGGAGATGGAGTCCCAAACTCCAAAGGTATCCTTATCCTGCTCTGCAGAGCTCTGTGAGAATCTTTTTTCTCTCTCTTATTTTTTTTTCCTCTGTGATAATCTTAACTCTTACATGTCTCTGAGATTTACCTATAGCTCTATCCCATGATCAAATGGAACATGTGAAGCACAGAAGTAACCTTCAGCCATGTGAAGACAGTTCTCTTGAACTTGACTTCTGGGTCTTGTTTACCCAAGCTAATCAAGTCTTAGGTGCTTTGCCTGCTCTGGGGAAGGTCTGCTCAGGCACCTGGAGTGTGTGTTAAGGACCCTGGTAGGGAGCCTGGCCTACCTTGCACTGGTCAAGCGGTGTGTCTTCTGTCTCTTGGAAGACCACACTGAAGGAGATGCTCTTGGGGTCAGAAGAGAATACCCAGCTGATAGTGAGGCCAGGCTCTGCTACAGTGATGGGGATCAGGCTGTAGGTACTGGATCTCACAAACAGCTCCCTGTTACCCTCTCCAAAGCTGGTGATCTCATCCACTGTGAGGGGTAATTTGATCCTAAAACAAAAATGCAAAGAGAAACCTGGTTCAGTGGATTGTCTGAGACTTTAAGGTAACTGGAGATTTGAGACTCTTGGTAGGATAAGCATGGGCACCTGTGACTAACATATTTATGAAGTGAAGCTTTGGTTTGAGTGTTTACCACATGGCTGGAATAGTTCTTGGTAGCGAGTCACAGTTGTCAAAAATACAGGAAGTCCTTGCCCACATGGAAACTATGGGGACAGTCTGACTTGCTCTGAGTCTCTTATGGGTAGGATGTGAGTGCGATGATTTAATCTTATCACACCTGTGAGGCTGGTCCACAGCTCAGCCACCATCTTCTTCCCCTTTATGTTCTGCCTCCTCCTTTCACCCAATTTAGATACACCTTCCACAGTCTCTCTGCAGATTTATATGAGAGGCGTTGGAGGGGTTGAAAAGTCAGACCTGAGAGAACCTGGGTGAGATTTCACAATTGTCTTGAGTTTTGTTTTTCAAATCTGTAGAATGGGAACAGCCACATTTTCCTCACGTGTCCATTGTGATAACACTGAAGATTGTGGAGCTGAGGGGAAGCCTCTGACCTCTAAAAGCAAGCATCCTTGGATCCACTTTGCAGGGGGACAGTGCTGTGACAGTCTGAGGCTGAGCCACAAATACTGCATGAGATGACATCAGAGAATGAGCTTGACTAGGTGGGAATCCTTGCCACTAATCCCAGGTGCCGACCAGCTGAGTAGATTTCCTCTTCTCAGTCACTCAAAGGTAGCAAGCTTAACTCAGGGTTATGGGAACAGGGCCTTCAAGTGGAGCTGAGTACCCTGGCTCAGTTCCTTAACCTTTGCAAGGCTTCCCCTCAACTCCACAATCTTCAGTGTTATCACAATGGACATGTGAGGAAAACATGGTTGTTTCCATTCTACAGATTTGAAAAACAAAACTCAAGATAATTGTGAAATCTGACTTAGGTTCTCTCAGGTCTGACCTAAACTATTATTACCTTTTTATTTGCAGAGGACCTGAGTTCAGTTCTCAGAGTTCATGTAGAGTGGCTCACAATTGCCTGTAATTCCAGCTCCTGGGGGAACTTTGGTCTCTATAGGCACCAGGACACAGACAGACAGACACACACACACATGTACACTGACACACACACTCACAAAATTAAAATAAACCTTAAAAACACAACAAAATAAACTAATGTGAATAAAGTTTGCCTTGTCCAGACACTTCAACTGGAGTGGTAGTCTCTTTCTTTGCATCCCTGAACTTATTTCTAACACCTTGAACTTGCTAGGGACTATCCTGTCTTAAGGCCTTGTCCTGGCTATTCCTTCTGCCTGAAATATTATTCTCTCAGATGGCTATCTAGCAACTTCTTCACTTCCTTCAAGTCTTACCACCACAGTGTCAGTCTCTATGAAATTGCAAATTTCCCTCTCCTCTAATCTTACTCTTCAGTTACATTTTTCTATTTCAAGCACCACTTTGTATTCTCTTATTTGCTCATTTTCCTTGTTCATTGTCTGTCATTACTCAGTATAAGATAAAATCTGCCCCCAGGAGGGGGTCTTTTGTCTTCTTTGTGGCCCAATGAGCTTGATGTAGTAATGAATAAATGTTAGCAAATGAGTGAATGGTTCTTTCAGCAATGGCAATTCAGCCACTGGAATCCACACTGGAAAAACTAACTCTACGGTATCAAGTTATACTAAAGCTAGAAAAACTTGAAAACTTTAAGTGCTATAACCCACACTTGGAGGCAGAGGCAGGAGAATCAGTAGGTTAAGGCCAGCCCAGGCTACATACCAAGTTTTAGGACTGAGCTATATGAGATCCTATCTTAAAAAAAACTAAAACAAAGAAACAAATAACATAAGAGAAAACTTAGAATATTCATGTAAAAAACAAACTACCAGTGTATATTCATATAAAAGAAAACAGACAGCTCTGGTGAAAGCAGTGAGAATAAGAACTGAGTCAACTCTCTCAATCCACTGTAATCAGCATTCTAGAGCTAAAGCCTACTAGACTCCTGCCCTCCCACCCACTGCAGAATCCTGATAACGGCTGTCCACAAGAGATATTTACCTTTCACTTCTTATTCTTTTACTCACCATTCTTTGTCCATTTTAGCAACTTAATTCCCCTACCCCAACCCCTTCTGCCCTATAACTATCCCAGCTTATAAGTAGAGGGTGTGATCTAATTTTGATTCTTACAGAGACTCCAACCCTTTGCAGGTTTTTCTCTCCCAAATAAAAGCATGTATTGTCTTAAAACAAACAAACAAACAAATAAATAAATGAAAGAGTTACCTTTGCCAAAACTTAAAAAAAAAAAAAAAAAAAGCAGAGGTTGTAATGGAGGGAATCTCATTCTTACGATGCCTGTTCACAAGAGCTAACACAAAAGTCTTCCAGAACTACAAACTTTCACAAAGGGCCCTGAAATTGCACATAACACATCTGCAAGGATATGTGTCCAATGGTGGACTGATACCACCATTTTTATGGATCATGGTAGCTAAGGATTCAAAACAGTAGTCTTCCTCTTGTCTTTTTAACAACATTCCTTTGTCATACAGCTTACTAGGTATTTCATTCCCATTGCAGTGTTACTCCCAAATAAATTTAATAATCTTTGGAGACTGCTTCTGTTTGGTATTTAGGTAGACCAAAATAGTTTGATTATTTCTATTTTCTACAACAAAAATTCATTGCTCTTATAATAAAAACAACAACAACAACAACAACAAAAGGGGCTAGAGAGATGGCTCAGCAGGATTCTATTCCCAGCAACTACATGGCAGCTCACAACTGTCTGTAGTTTTAATTCCAGGGGATCTGAGGCTTTCTTTTGGCCTCTGTGGGCACTAACCAGGCTTGTGCATGGTGCACAGATAAGCATGTAGGTAAAACACCCATACAAAACAAGCAAAAAAACCACCATTAACAATAACAAAACTAACATTAAAAAAAAAAAAAAGGAACAGGGCAGAGAAGGAAGACTATAAAGAAACACAGGGAACTTTCCAGTGACAGACTGATTTTGTAGTTATGTTGTTTATGATACCATATTATTTGTTAAAATCTAAGCAATATACACTTTAAAAGTCTTTTTTTTTTTCTGGTTTTTTGAGACAGAGTTTCTCTGTGTAGCACTGGCTGTCCTAGAACTCGCAATGTAGATCAGGCTGGCCTCAAACTCACAGAGATTCGCCTGCCTCTGCCTCTCTAGTGCTGGGACTAGAGGCATATGCCACCACCGCTCGGCTAAAAGACAAATCTTAATGTATATAAATTGTGCTTCAAAAGTAGAAAGTACAAACTGAAGCCCCTGACGCACTTAAAATAGACATCAGTGTTCAAATAGAGAGGCCTGAAACACCTAGGAAGGGGGAAGAAATAGCTTACAGCCGGGTATGAGATAGCCAAAGTGACCACATAAGAGGTAGGACAGGGCTCCGGGCAAAAAAGCCAGTGTCTGTATGCTCTGGCTGTTTTCCACTTCCACAATGGCTTGCTGAAGGATATACACAAGGCACTAGCTGGTTCCTTCTCCACAACAGCCCTATATTTGAGGGACATATATAAGTCTCTGGCTGGTTCCCACTTCCACAATGGCTTGCTGAAGGATATACACAAGGCACTAGCTGGTTCCTTCTCCACAACAGCCCTATTGAGGGACATATATAAGTCTCTGGCTGGTTCCCACTTCCATAATGGCTCTACTGAGAGACACAACACAAGGCACTGTTGCCCTTTCACATATTCTTGCTTCTAATTCAGCTAGCTGCAACAGACTGAATTGTGGGTAAGAATAGCTCCTAACACGATTCTTCCACCTAGTCCAAAGAGGAGACCACCCCAGGTCACCCTGTAAACAAAGAGCTGGATATGAGGCAACACAGAAAAACTACAGCTAGATCTTGGTAGGTGTGACAGAGTTAGTGTTACCTCTCCACAAACAAGTACACCACAAGCCAGTGGGGTTGCGATGTAGCTCAGTGGTAAAGAACCTGTCTATTATGCATGAGACTCTGAGTTCAAATCCAAGCACTGCCTAAAACAAAACAACAAAATGAAACAAGCTCTACAAACTGGCCACATATAAGTAAGAACAAAGAGAATAATTTAATGAACTACCAACAGACTCCACCAAGTTCTGAGACCAGCAACACCTGTAAAAATCAACAACTAGAGGGCTAGTAGTCAGCAGACAGTCAAGACCAAACAGTTAACAAAGCTAGTCAGAATGAACAGAACACTTCAAAATGTGATTATTGCCCTGTGTGAGCAGCATGTGAAGAGCACACAATTATCTCTTCAGTTGGGTGAAGAATATATGCAGAGTATGGGATTCTTCAATTTGCTTGGCCTGTGATATGCTCAGAGAATTAGCCTATGTCAACAGAAATCACCTCAGTCTTTGTCTAGTTCCCTGCTACAAGTCTTGCCCCCAGAAAACAGCTCAATGTTTTTTTCCTTTCTTAGTACTCTTCTCACTTTCTTTAAATTTTCTTACTTTTTGTTAACTTTTCTGAACAATGCCTGCTTTTGCTTTACTTACTCCTATATGTGTGTCTTTAATCATTGCCCATTTGGCTGGATGTATGTCCTTTGGTTATGACTAATTGGCATCTCCGTCTTTGAATCACATACATCTAGGCTGAGAAACGCCCCGTTGCACTCAAAGATCTGCATCATTCCACTGGTGGTAAAATAGAGCACTGGGTGGGGCTAGCTCTTGCTCTGATAGGACCAGTGTCCCTCCTCCATACTCCATTCTCCTGGGACTCCTTTCCACTGGCACAAGAGGTCCACTTAGCAGCTTGCCACTTACATCAGCTCTCCTGACTTCAGCAAGCAGATTTCAGCATCCCGCCCCATTGGCATGTCTTCAGTGTCTTCAGGGGTTAGTGAGTTTGATGTGGTGTCTCTGAAACATCACAAAGGAGAACAAGCCATTAGCTATTAGCACACAAAATCATGTAGCCTGAAGTCTATAATGGAGTCATGTAAGGACTTCAGTGGGGACAGCAGAGGGAAGACAACAGGGCTGTAAGAGATTGCCAGGAAGGAGTGTGCGTGAGTATAATCACACCAATGAGTCACTCTCCTCTTCCACATCAGCAAATCCTTCTCCTTCCTTCCTTCCTTCCTTCCTTCCTTCCTTCCTTCCTTCCTTCCTTCCTTCCTTCCTCCCTCCCTCCCTCCCCCCTCCCTCCCTCCCTCCCTCCCTCCCTCCCTCCCTCCCTCCCTCCCTCTCTCTCTCTCTCTCTCTCTCTCTCTCTCTCATTTATTTATCTATACAGTGTTCTGCCTGCATGTATCCCTGCATGCCAGAAGAGGGCACCAGATCTCATTATTATACATAGGGGAGGCAGGCATGATACCAGCACCATTGTCTCCTTCCTTTGTACTGGCCATGGGGCACAATAACTAGAGCCCTTGCAAAGTTGGTTCCAGAATCAGACACCCTGACTGCATCCCAGTCAGTACAAGAATAGGTCTAGGCAGAGACGGGCCAGGGCCATACACAAAGAGGACAGGGTGAATACCTACCTCTTCTTTCCTTCCTAATGCACCATCAGGAGTACAGAAGGAGCTGCATTAGCACTGGGGCTGTCCCAGTTTCCAAAGTGTGCTCTGTGGAGTGGACCACCAATACACAGGGAGCAAGTGTCACATATAACATCTCTCTCTTAAAAAGTCAGTGAATTTAGGCAGTTGTCTAGCTTTTTCTTCCTCATTCAAACATTCCCTTCTGGACGGAGGAGAGAGCTCTTAAGACTCAGTAAGCTAATGACAGAAGTGCATAAAAGTTATAGAACTCAGTTTGCCTGGCATGGTGGCATATGCCTTTAGCACTTGGGAGGCCGAGGCAAGTGGATCTCCATGAGTTCCAGGCTAGCCTAGTCTACAGAGTATTCTAGGACATCTAGGACTAGCTACATAGATAGACCCTGTCTCAAAGGGAAAAAAAGGAAGGAAGGAAGGAAAGAAGGAAGGAAGGAAAGAAGAAGAAAGGTACAAGATTCACAAGTCCCATCCCCCTACTCCTCTACTCCCACTTTTAAAGCAGCAAATAATTGGTGGAGAGAGGAGACTCTTTTCATGGAACCATCTGAAAGTCGTACAGAGAACTTCAGAGATGCAGCTATTATGAGTTCTCACCTATTCTAGATTGTGCTTTTTGGTGTGTCAGTTCCCCATGTTACCCATACACCTGTAAGTAACACCATTAAATTCACTGATTCAAGCTAGATTTGGATGGAAGTTTCTTTGCTTGTTAGTGCCCTTATCTTGTGTTCTTGTATTTATCTGACCATAGAACATTGTGAACACCTGAAAAATTACTGACTGTCTAAACACATTGGCAGATAAAAGTTCCTGGATGGGTACTCAAGCCCTAGCTATTTCTCCAAAGGCAGAAGAGATGCAGCTTAGTGTGTTCCCACCCAGGACTCTATGCCCAGCTTGGCTAGTAGCTCTCAGGGGTCTCATAATCTAACGAACTTCAGCTGACAATTATGCCCCAAAAGAAAATAGTCTGCTCTCACGTGAAGGCCTTAGTTAGGAAGGTCTCCTGCCCAGCATGACTTTCCCCAAATGTTGTAAACTAGTCTCAAGAGTTCTGGAGGACTCTTTTGAAATGCTCCATGAATATGGTCAGTATGTCTCAAACTCTCCTCTCACCAAAGGCTCCTGTCTGCCTGGATCTCAGGCACGTTTACTTCAGCTTCACATGGTTTCAAAAGCCTTGCAGCATTTCTGGGAACTTCGGTCTCTCCTAGGTAGTCATGTAAATGCATTAAGGGATAAAGCAAATTTGACAATGGCAGGAAACACAAGCAGGACCACTAGAGGGCAATCTATCTCCTTCTATAGCCATGTCCTTTCTTTACTACTGAAGCAGTTTTCTCAGAAGTCCATAAAATCGGTGTTCTCAAGTGACCTTTCTCCCTTCCCTGCTTCAGCAGTAGGGCCTACTATTAGTTTCTCTGGCTTCTTAGAGTGACATGCCCACCAGTCCATTGATATGTTCTTCCCTCTAAGGCAGTGGTTCTCACCCTTCCTAATGCTGTGATCCTTTAATACAGTTCTTCATGTTTTGGTGACACCCAACCATAAAGATTATTTCATTGCTACTACATAACTGTAATTTTGCTACTGTTATGAATTGCAATGTAAGTATCTGATATGCAGGATATCTGATATGTGTGACCCCCAAAGCGGTTGCAACCCACAGGTTGAGAAACATTGCTCTAAGGTGATGATTCAAGTGTTCCCTAGGAATCTCATTGCATACACAGTCTATGCTTAACAAATGTATGCATTATAAGCCTCAGTGTAAGGGACTTTCCTATCCCAAATGCCATCAAAGGTGGATGAATCAATACTCCAATTTACTAAAGAATAAAGAATGGCTCAATGATTAGGAGTACTTGCTAATCATTGACCCACATTCAGTTTCCAGCACCCATGTTAGGTGGCTCACAACTGCCTGCAACTTTAGCTCCAACACCCTGCCTTCTTTTGGCCTCTATAGGCATGAGCACTCACATGCACATACATACACAGTTGTACCTAAATAATAAATAAATCTTTGAAGCCAGAGAGATGGTTCAGCTGTTACGAGCACTTGCTGCTCTTCCAGAGGATCCAGGTTTGGAGCCCAGTACTCACATGGTGGTTTACAACTATATGTAACTTCAGTTCCAGGGGATCTGACACTCTCTTCTGGCTTCCACAGACACTATATGCACATGGTACACATACATACATGCAGGCAAAATACCTACACACATAAAAATCTTAAGAAGTAAAAAGGAATAGAGGTGCAGAAACAAGGCAGAGGCTAAGGGCCCTACCCCTAAAGCGATCAAAAGCTCATACCTCTCTGGGCAAGCAGTCATCTGGGTACTTCCAGTTAGACCTCTAGCATTTCTTTTCCACAAGTCTAAATATTTTAACTTGCTTTTCATTTTATTATTAGACAACAATTCTCTAGGCTGTCAAGAACAGAAGCTCCACCTGAGGAATGCCTAGCAGCCTGTGATGTCTTGCTTATTATGGTTTTCCTTGGAGGTCTCTCTCTATTTTGTCACTTGCTTCACTGAATCCCAGGCTTCAGCAGGGGACTGGGAGTCTTCAGTTCAGACTGCACTGTCCAAACTTACATTAATCAAAATCAAATAAACTAGAATTTCAGATCCAAGTTTGCACTAGTTATACTTCAAGGGTTCAGTCACCACACAGGCTGGTGTTACACAGTGTGGCATAGGACACATGCACCATAGTAACTGACTTCCTTTCTGTGTAACAACCAAGCCAACAAGAGTACTTCTAAGTTCTTGGCTTCTGAAGACTTAGTTCCTATAGTCTGATCACAACACACAAACCTGCAGCCCCACCCTTGTGACCAGTAACAGTTGCTGATAAATAAGCCATTCCTGGCTCACTTGCAAATGGCTGGCTATTCCCTCAGGGATATTCAGCCATGAATTTGTCCTCCACAGCTCTGCCACTCACTAGTGCCCTGTGCTAACCTCTCCCCCAAATAGCAGGAAATGTAAAAAAAACCTTGGATCCTGGAAGTGATATCCTAACAGTTCTGACTTGAGAATGCCAGGTTTCTCTAAAAGGTGACAGGTTAGCACAACCTGACTTCTAAAATAAGAATGCATCAAGAGTGCCTACCACTTTCCCTCCATTCACTTCTCAATTCTATTTTAGATCTTCAATTATACTACAAATATAAATAGTAAAAGGCTTTTTTTTTTGGTAAAGTGGTCCCTAATGGACTAGTTCCTAGAATTTAGTTGCAAATCTTTTGTTTTATACAGAACTTTTCCTTGCAGTGTAGCTATGACAAAAGTACCACACACTCTTAACTACACACATCCAGTCTCCTACATTCACCCATGCATGTTCCTATAGATGTTCATGCACAATCACAAAGGGTTGAGATAGGACTCTGTTCTCACTGGGGGAGACAAATGATTTCTGAGAAGAATATAGCAAAGCTTGACAAAGCTCAGGCCATTCTAGTGCTACTCTGTAAGTGCAAATCTGGGTCTTCTGCAAGAACAAGAAGTGCTCTTTAACTGCTGAGGCATCTTTCCAGCTCCCAAAGGGTTCTTTTAAGAGAGGTGTTTCAAAAGAAAAAAAAAAAGAGGTGTTTCAACTATGTTCCTCTCAGTATTTGGTGCAGCCTATGCATTTATTAATCCATTGTTCATTTTTCACTGCATCCATGAGGAAGTGAGCAAAACCCAACAGTTGTACATGGAATCCTCTGGCACACCTGTCTTACAGCAAAATTGAATATTAGTTTCTAGATTCTGGTCCTACTCCCAGTTCCTGACTTCCAGGGTAATCTCCCAGAGAAGTCTGCAATGTTAGCTCATGGAAACTAATAACCAGACTGCATTAAGATCATGTCTACTACATGGAGAAGGTCCAGGAGGGCAACCCCAGGCAGTTCTAGACAAGACAAGCCTGGTAGGTGGGCACTGCCTGCCAGGGACCTGTGGGGCTGACTGCAGAGCTACACCAGGCCCTCCAGCACAGTCAGACACCTATAAGCAACCTGGTCCACTGGTCTGGGAATGACCAGAAACCTGAGCTTATAGCTCTGAATTCACTAGTTATTTTAACTCTGGTTTCTATGTTCTCATCTATAAATGGAGCCCTCAGGGTTGCTGTGAGACATCTGTGGTACATGTTGGATATTTACATACAGCCTAGTCCACAGCATGTACTTTGTGTTGGCCTAGACCCAAAGTGTTCCAAAGATATATGTGACCAATAAACAAAGCAATTTCAATGGACAAAGTCCACCATCTTCAGTGGACAAAAGTCAAATCTACTTACTGCTCCCCTTTAGTTAACAAATGGAAACCTATCAGGTTTTAACATCAGAATACGTGCTAAGCCAAGAAAAAGGGAGTATGAAGCATCAGAATCATGCTTCATTTTTGACTCTCAAATTAAGTGGGCGGGCTTGTCAAGACTGTCATGTAGATTCTGCCTGTGGGATAGAGAAAGGGGTAGGTCACTAGCTGAAAGCTCTTAAATATTTGACGGAAACACAGATCACACATCATAGAGAAGCAGAGGCAGACCTTGAGTGAGCATACTTCACTCTGGAACAAAGCTACTGGGGCTTCCCTATTGGTGAGTCATTTGTTTTTATTGGTTCTCTTAGATTCCTGCCTGCAGCATGACCTGTATACACCACATAAGCTACTGAATTTAGCTACACATGGCTTCCACCCCCCACTCCCATGGTTGCTGTAAGGGTTAGAGAAATATGAAAACTTTATTGGTTCTGGCATACAGCAAGTGCTTATAAAAGGATGAGAAAGGTAGTAATGGAGTAACCAGTTCCACCCAGGAACATAAAGCAGTCTGGTTGCTGGTCTCCTATTTTTATCAATAATTTTCTATTTTCTGTTCTTTTGTATTTTACAAAACAAGCTATAATCCTCAATTACCATTCACTTCTTTTTCAGTATGAATCATTGTGAAACTACAGACACTGTAGACTACAGAAAAATAAAAAGGAGATGAATTATGTAATTTGAAATTCTGCCAGCCAAAGGCCAATGCTAACAGAGTTTGGTCCTTTAAGACTGTAGTCAAAATTATAAAATTCTTAAACAAGAGTCTATAGAATATGTGGTTCATGAAGTCCTAGAATTATAGACCTTTACTTATTTCTCAGTGAAGATCTACAGCTTTAATGAGATTCTCAAAAAGGTTTGTGATCACAGAAAGAAGCTAGGTGTGGCAGCAATCCCAGCACTTGGGAGGTGGAAGCAGGAAGATTAGAGGGTGCCATCTATTTGTTGTAACCATAATAGCTCATGATTTTTTTTGCATGTTTTTCTATTTATTCTGTTTTCAGTAATTTAAATACAATGAAACTTCCAAAATAATTAAAAGTACTTTTTAAATATTTGAGTTACATTTTATGCTTCAGATACAATTATAGTTTATTATCAGGCTTTTACATCATGTCCCAAGTTTATTACTTTTTCATTTTTATAAATCAACATTTTGATTATAGATAAAGAAATGTTCTTAACATTTTGTATAAGGGGCAGTGATTTTGTGTGTGTGCATGTATACTTGTGTATTTGTGGGTACACGTGCATATGTAAGCAAGTGTCTTCCCTCAGGCACTGTTCACCTTTTTTGTTAGGACAAGGTCTCTCATTGGCCTGGAACTCACCTTATAGGCTTGTAAGATTATCTGACCAGTGAGCCCCAGGAATATGTCTCTACCTCGTAGTGCTGGGATTACAAGTGTACACCAGCATGCTCACCTTTCTTTAAAATGTGAGTTTTAAGGCAGAGCCAGGCGGATCTCTGTGAGTTCGAGGCCAGCCTGGACTACCAAGTGAGTCCCAGGAAAGGCGCAAAGCTACACAGAGAAACCCTGTCTCGAAAAACCAAAAAAAAAAAAAAAAAAAAAAAAAAAAAAAATGTGAGTTTTAGGGAATTAACTCAGGTCCTCATGGTTGTAAAGCAAGCACTTTACTGATGTCCATCTCCCCAGTCCAATGATTTTCAATACTCTATTTGTACGTTCTAGCCCCTATCTGCCAATATAACATTGAATATGAATCTATACATTTTCTGAAGAGTCATGCTAGGGTTGGATCCAGAAAAAACAGGGGCAACAAAACGGCAAATACAAGTCAGGTAACAACAGAGAACTGGATGATATCCTTAGGAAAGTAAAGCTGTTTATTTCATATTATAAATGATGAAAAATAAATCGTCCCTATGTGAGTCAATAACATACACACGAATATCTGACCTTATTTTAGCACCTCAGAAAGCTGTAGAGCAGGATGCCTAACTCCAGTCTATCAAGACCAGATACCTAGCCTTGAGGTCTAGGCTTGGGGACTATGAGTAGCCTTAAAGGCACAGTCCTTCCTTGACGGTGAGAAAAGGCATTATGGCTTTAGGGAAGGTAGAGGCTGCAGAACCATCAGAGTAGACACTGTTTCCTCCTAGGACTCAACTTCAGGGCAAGAAATGACCACATGGATTAAAAAAAGAGAATGTCTTCAACTTTCACATGCCCTCATCTGACCAGGGAATATTTTGTCTTGGTAAATCTTAGGAGTTCTACCCAAATACTTGCTCATCTTAAGACATCTTCTAGAACCCACACTAGTGGGACATGTATCCAGGACACTGGCAAGGTTAGCCTGGCCCCTACAGTCAGGCCACAGGTTACATTACCCTATGTCCTACTTGTGGTCCTTGGTAAAGTGAGAGGGCAGAGCAGGGTCACAGACATGACAGCCATGGAGGATGAAGTCCTGGGCAAGAAAGGCAGGCATGTGGTCTTTGCTACAAACCTATTTAGCAGCCACCCTACTTCATGCACCATTTTAATTCTCTAGGATCTGAGACTCCAGCATAGATGCCATAAACTGAAGAGATGATAAATGGAAAAGTTTGGTTTGGGGAGTCAGGAAAACACCTTTATTCCCTGGTAGTCAAAGTTCTGGGCACCTAGGGGTTTTCTTTCCCTTGTTGCTCCATCAATTGCCTTTTACACTATATAGTTGAAGAGTACACAGAAAGAACTCCCCAGTCAGACACAGTTCTTGTCATCCCCCAAAACCTTGAGGATACCAGTAAAGAAGCTTCTTTGGAGGGGCATTTGATTTGGCTTTCATAATTTTTAACACCAAGTGTGGTTATCTTAGTTAGAGTTTCTGTTGCTGTGATAAAACATCATGACCAAATGAAACTTGGGAAAAAAGGGTTTATTTCATCTCACATGTCCTGATCACAGTTCTGATCAGGAACTGAGAACAGGAACCTAGAGGCACAAATGGAGGAGTGCTGCTTACTGGCTTGTTCCTCCCTAGCTTGCCTGTCCTGTTTTCTTATAGCACACAGGACCACTAGACTAGGGGTGTCCCCACCCACAATGTGCTGGGCCCTCACACATCAATCACTCATTAAGAAAATGCACTAAAAAAAAAAAATGCACTACAGACCTGCCTACAGGCCAATCTTATGGAGACATTTTCTCAAGTGAGAATCCTTCTCAAATGACTCTAGCTTGCGTCAAATTGACATAAAATTGACCAGCACAGGGCAGAGTGTGGCAGGCACCTGCTATGAGACCCAAGAAGATGGAAGCAGGCCTCTCTGATAGACAGCAGCCTGTGTTTCCAAACAGTTGTGGGCCTGAAGAGACAGCTCAGCAGTTAAGACCAGACAGTTTCCAGAGGATCTGGGCTTGAATTCCAGCATCACATGGCTGCTCACAACCATCTGTAACTCCAGTCCCAGGAAATCTAATGTCTTCTGGCTTTGGCAAGAACTGTACACACACAGAGCTCACAGGCATACATGCAGGCAAAACATCGATACACAAAAAATACATAAACACATAAAATACAAAACAAAATAAAACCAAAAACCAAAGGGCTACTGTGTCCACTTGATTGTATGGTATCTTTTTTTAAAACAATTGAGCATAGTGTTTTATGGGATATGCATGGGAGGAGTCTGAGACTTTTAGGGTTAATGAAGAGTACTGAGCAGTTTCCCATGGGAAATGGCCACCTTCAGCACACTGCTATCACTGAGCATGATAACGAGTGGGGTTAGAGATGATAATTTGTTTCCTAAATGCAATTAATAAGGACAGTGGGAAGAAAAAGCATCACTCAGACAGAACCAAACATAACTCTTGGGTTTTGACTCACAGATGTTTGCCACAACAGACGCCATGAATGATGACTACGAGGCAGATCCCTGGCTCTCCAACAATTCCAGTGATAACAGCCAGGAGCACAAATACTTCCTAAAGTTCAAGGAGATCTTTCTGCCCTGCATGTACCTGATGGTGTTTGTCCTTGGACTAGTAGGGAACTCCCTGGTTCTGATTATATACATTTTCTACCAGAAACTGAGGAGTCTGACAGATGTGTTCCTGGTGAACTTGCCCCTGGCTGACCTGGTATTTGTCTGTACTCTGCCCTTTTGGGCCTATGCAGGCACCTATGAGTGGGTCTTTGGCACAGTCATGTGCAAAACTCTTCGAGGCATGTATACAGTGAACTTCTATGTGTCTATGCTCACTCTTACCTGCATCACGGTGGATCGTTTCATTGTGGTGGTCCAGGCTACTAAGGTCTTTAACCAGCAGGCTAAGTGGAAGATCTGGGGCCAGGTCACTTGCTTGCTCATTTGGGTGGTCTCCCTGTTGGTCTCTTTGCCACAGATCATCTATGGTAATGTTGAACGTTTTGATAAGCTTATCTGTCAGTACCACAATGAGGCGATTTCTACTGTGGTTCTTGCCACGCAGATGACTCTGGGGTTCTTCTTGCCACTTCTCACTATGATTATGTGCTACTCAGGCATTATCAAGACCTTGCTTCATGCTCGAGGCTTCCAGAAGCACAAATCTCTAAAGATCATCTTCGTTGTAGTTGCCGTGTTCCTGCTGACCCAGACACCCTTCAATCTTGCCATGTTAATCCAGAGCACAAGCTGGGAGCACTATATCATCACTAGCTTTCAGTACGCTATCCTAGTGACAGAGGCTATAGCATACTTTCGGGCTTGCCTCAATCCTGTGCTCTATGCCTTTGTTGGCTTAAAGTTCCGAAAGAACCTCTGGAAATTTGCGAAGGACATTGGCTGCCTCCCTTACTTGGGAGTCTCAAGTCAGTGGAAATCTTCTGAGGACAGTTCCAAGACTTGTTCTGCCTCCCACAATGTAGAGACCACCAGCATGTTCCAATTGCAGTAGGCCTGGCCAGACTTGGAGAAACTAGCATCAGAATTCTTAGGAGCATGGCTATGTCCTTTGGATGCAACAAGAAAGGCTTTGCTTATAGTATTCGGACTCTTGTGGAGAAGTCACTGAAAACTGTGGCTGGTATACAAAGCTTCTTACATTATATGTAAGAACATATCCTGTTCCTAATATCTAAGCCTCAATGTTCAAAGGAGAAATGTCTTATTATTTTTTAAGCACTTTCTCTCTTCCATCCCTAAGAATGCTAATTCTAGAGACCTCAGGTTCTCTTTTACCAAGTTTGGGGCTAAAAGCTGAAGAGGAGTTGCACCAACAAAGCTGTTGATGGCAGGTGTCATGCAAGGTTCCTGAGTTCAGAAGATTCTTCTATGGGCAAGCAGTGGAGAACTGAGAAACTCCCCACACAAGTGCTGGTCACCGGGCACCTAATAGGATGAGACCAAGCTCTGATTCATCCAGGGGTCTGACTTTTGTATTGGTGGGAATGCCTATATTTTCTTGGATTATTTTTTGAAAGTACAGCATAAGAGACTGAAATTAGGCCAGGATAAATAGCTGAATGCTATTTAATATAATGCTAGAAAAATGTGTAAAAAGGAGCTTAAGACTATAACAAATCTAAGCAGCATTATTAGAGGGACTCTGGTGGCTTTGCTCATCTTAAAACAAAAACAGAACTTTCCAATGCTTGCCACACATAATAAATATGTACACACAAATATATCAAATATTATGAGTTTCATGGCTAAGAAATAAAACATTTTAAAAGTTTTCAAACTGCTTTCACCTTTAGGTACATTCTATTTTAATCTGGTATGCCTGGGACACAAAACAAAATAAATCCTCACAAACAACACAAAAACAACCCAGCTAGAATAAAGGAAATAAGTTAAAATTAAACTTGGGGGGCAGTGGTCTATGAAAGAAATAGACTATACCAGTGGTAACAACCTTGCTTTCATGGTGGTTTCCTGCTCCTGCCCAAGATGTGGGGTGCATTTGTTTTAACTCTATAATACTGCTCCAGGATGAGGTAATTTTATATGCCAGACTAGACTGATACTGACTAGACCTTGACAATCAGGTGAATAGTCCTATAGGTGCTTGCTGGGTACTTGTATCACTAAATCATTTAACTAAATATCAACATCGACCTAAAAAGGCTGACCAGAATGCATAGGAGGTTAGCTAATCCTGGACTCAGGGGCTGGAGAGAGCAGCCTAGGGCTGCCTCCATGCCCTTCACTAGGTAAGACCTGGAACAAATGCACCTCAACCTCTGTCAACATGCTTGCACTCATGATGTAGCCCCTTCCCTTTGCCTTGTCTCTTTCCTTTCTCCCTCTTCTCCTTCCCTCCTCCCTTACTATAAGTCTTGACCAATCTGGAACTTGCTGTGTAGACCAGCCTGGCCTCAAACTCACAAAATCTACTTGTCTCTGACTCTCAAGTGCTGGGTTAAAGCCAGGCCAGCATACCTGACCATCTCTTAACCTTTGGCCATTTCTTTTTAGTGAGACGGCACATGTCTCTCAGTTGATTTGAGGAGGACTTGAGATAACACATATGAAACACCTAGCACAATGGGCTGGGGAAGTAGTTCAGTTGGTAGATGCTTGCCCAGCATGCATGGAGTCCTGGGTTTGGACTCTAGCACTACATTAAAATTGGGTGTGGTGAAACACACCTATAATGCCAATATTTGAGTGTGAAGGAAGGAGGGTCAAAATTTTAATGTTATTCTCATCTAGAGAAAGTTTGAGGCCAACTCAGGCTACATGAGACCCTGTCTCAAAACAAAATCAAATCAAATCAAATCACCCCACAGCACAATCTATTTGTAGGTAAAAGGTCTCCAAACTGGTAGCAGTTATTTCTTCGAAGATCTAGTAGAGGTTCCTTATGCCATCCCCATGAGTGGGTGGAGTGACTAGGCTGTTGTGTACTTTTTTCTGGACGTGCAGGGCATGCCACATGAATTTCAGCTCATCAAAATGTGACTACCCCTGGGAGTACCCACATGGTCCCATGCACTGTTTTATCAAACATAGTACACATAAGGGCTATAGTACACTTCCTTGCTATGTACAAGTAACATGTAAGACCAAGTGCTTACTCAAACAACTAGCCTGCTCTATACAGGGTGATAAGGCTAACCTTCCGTGCATTCATCTTTATTTGTAATACTGCTGATGGAGGGGGCCTGAGTCCCTGATTTCCCTAATATTACAGCTCAGGAGATAAAGGCTCTAAATGGGAAGGAAGATGAGTCAGGTATCAGGGCTCTGTAGCTATCTACACAGGTATTCTAGAGAGAGGCAGGGCTGAGCACTCAACACTCAGAGACAGTGCCACCCTAGGCCAATCCTAGAAAGCTTCTCCAAGGCCTGGCTCAACAACTCACAGTGCCAGGTGACAGTGTTCCCTGGACCATCCCTGACCAGCTGTCTGTCCAACAAACAAATCGGATGAGATGGGAGAACCTACTAGATCATGCCCTCTTCCCGGCTCCCCACAGAAAAGTTTATACTGGCCTTTATGCAGGTTAAGAGAAGCTTGTTTGTCTGTTGCCAGGAAAACAGCAATAGAACCTCCCTTCTGTCTGCCTCCTCAGTCACTATTTGCCTTATTCTCTGGGCATCTATTTATTTCCACCTGGAGAATGTTACTATCTCCTTCTGTATCTACACCACCATTAGCAATAAATACACACACAAAACAAAACAAAATACAACAAAAACCCCGGCATGTGTTAGTTAAAGACGGCTTGTGTCTGGCCTGCAAGCTACCTGGTGCACCATGGCCCAGGAAAGGCTGTTGCTGCAGGCTCTATTTCCTTAGAGGTGTTAGAAGTCTTAAGCATTCAGTCATCACCTTTTCCTACTTTTGGCTCCCCTTCTTGCTCATGGCAGCAGATCACATCGAAGGCCAGGTTGCTATGGTGGAGTTGGAGGAAGAGCTGGATGAACATGGACCCTGCTTGAATTCAGACTGTCCTAGATATGTTTCAGAGCCTGACAGCAAAGACTGTGTGCTCCCCTCCCACTGGGCTCCCTATTTCTGAGGATGGTGGAAGTGCTTATGGGCTCTGACTTTAGTTAGACATATGAAGGCCATAGATAGCTATGTCTTCTGAGAAGTGAATGCATGATGACTCCCTTCTAGAGGCATCTGATCATCCAGAAATTCTTGGTGTCTTGGATGAGGAGATAGTGCCACAAGAAGGCAGAAAAGAGAACACAGAATCCAGAAGCTGTTGGTCACTCTGGCTTCCACAGAGCTTTCAAAGTAGCACCTTGGCCAGCTGCTTGGTTCTTCAGGTCCATAGTCACTAGTGATGTTTTACAGGCAACTTGGTACTGTCATCTCCACTTCTCAGAGGAAAATTGAGTGAGGGCTGGTCCTTGTTAGCAGCCTCTCTGCCCCTAAACACTGGCCACAGAGCTTTCAGGCAGGTGTTATACCACAGAGGGTCTGCCTGCTCTGTACTCCTCTGTAGTCAAAGGTCGTGGGTTAATACAGGCATAAGGTGGCTTTTGAACTTTAACCATGATCACCATATCCTGTCCTTGTTTCGTTTCTGAGATGATAGCAGGTATCAGATCTCTTGGCTGGTGACCACAGTTCCCCCCACTAAGCACTCTGGCCGGAAAGCCCTGGTTTTGAAGCAATTGCTGGCATGCAGGCTCTGAGAGTAGGTTTCAGATCATTTCATGTAATCTGGGTACCTGAAGGCCTTTACTTATTTATTTATTTTTTTTTTAAATGAGGCTACAAGTTGAGATACTGAGAAGCATGTGTACACAGTAGACACATACAGCCCAGGCTGACATCAAAACTCAGCATCAACATCAGGAAAATCACCTATCTCCACAGGAGTTTTCTGGCCCAGATCCTTTCTCTAATTGCCTTTCTTAGGGAGGGGTAGATGGTATTCTAGGCTCTCCTGAACAGCTAATGGAGCTGCATTTAGAGACTGCACTGCCATGGCCATGGGGCCTGGAAGCTTGTTTGGGTCTGGAGCTTAAGCTCTTCACCCTGAATGCCCGGTATATCTGGTACCTAGAGAAGAGGCCAGGTTGTGGAGACTGGCTATGTGTGAGCTGGGCACAGGCCAAGGGAGCTAACTACCTATCACCTCAGTTCTGAGAACAAGTGGAAATCTGGGTAGTGGTGTTTAGGACACTAAGAGAGAGGCTGCAGGAAAGTCTAAAAGGTTGTAAAGGACATCTATCTGCTACAGGTGAGGGCTGTGTTCCTGCTATGAATCACCAATCAAGATAAGCCAGGAATTGGGGAAAAGGCAGTTGTCACCAGGAAATCCTGTTAGGTTTCCTTGTGAGAGTGAAGCTGGATTTGGAGACTTTTCCTTGTTCTATCATTTTCCAGGAAGGGTCAGAGCTTAATTCCTCTTTCATTACTTTGTTCCTCAGATTGCGTTCCTCATATTGCTTACCTTTCCCTCTAACTTTCCTGTGAGGGATGCTGGAGCAAGTCCAGGGCTCTCTTTCCCATACTTTCTCAGACTCTTGCAGTCTTTGATTGAGTTTTAAACATGGGAATAAAAGAAATGCTAAGGAAAAACTCTCATACATGCTAACACACAACCTATAGTGTAGAAAGGTAGCTCTTTGTTCACATAGGTGAGATATAGGGACCATAGGTTCCCACCAGCCAGTCCCAGATCTGTGCTGGTGGCTGCAGGCCAGCATGCTACCGGTTTCCTTTCTCTGAAACAGTTCCTGATTTCCCATGACCAAAAACTACACATACAAGTCAGTAGTCTAGAAGCTTTCTGTTTCTGTTCCTACTAGGAAAGAGGAAGGTGAAAGGATGAGGGAGGAAGCTAGAGAACAGTCACCTTATGCAGGTTACAGGTGTTTGTGAGAAGACACTTTCAAATCAATAGCATCCTTCTGGGCTTTTAGCTCCTAGTCTACTCACCCTTCTGTCTTTGCAGCTTGCCAGGTACCAAGGGCAGAATGTAGTTTACTGCTAAAGGAAGAGAAGATACCCTGGGAAACACTGGGTCATGGGGGTTAGGGTGAACACTGATGACTACTGACCAGTATGTGTCAGAGAGGTGTTTAAGGAAGGAGGGAATTGGTCCAAAGTCATAGAAGCAACAGTGACTAGGAGCTATCTTAGGTTTGGCAGTGAGGAGGTTTGTTCATGAGCTGAATTCAGTGACTTTAGTCAGAGAATACACAAGTGTGGAGATACACTGAAGCCTAAAATCTAGGCTAACAGCCTCATGAAGATTAAGTACAGCCCCTCCCATGTGGCAGAAATTGACATGATAAAGATGACAGGTAACTCCTGGCTCTATTTTGGATTCTGAGTAGGAGAGAGAGATCTCACTGTGAGTCAGCATGAGCTCACAGAAGTCTTTCACCAGAAGAAAAGTTGGCCAAGCAATTTTGAGACTGTATTTGCTACTTTTTGCTTTTATAAAATATCTGACAGGAGCAACTTAAGGAAGGATTTATTCTGGCTCAGAGAGTATCAGTCCATCATAGCAGGGAAAGCATGGTAGAGCAGCCCCATCTAGACTTATTTACATGACATTGGGCTTGGACGCAGAGAACTCATGCTGGAACCAGGGGTAGGTAAAACTTTCATAGGCTCATCCTGAGTAACTTCTCTAACTTACTTCCACCAGTCAGGTCACACCTTCTAAATGATCCACAGCTTTCAAAGTAGTGCCACAAGCCTAGGACCAAACATTCAAAACAAACTTGCCAGGGACATTTCAGATTCAGAAGGTAACATTTAGCCCTTGACTTTCAATGGCTCACTGCCATCTCACAATACAAACTGTACTTAGTTCAGCTTCAAAGAAAGACCTGTAGTCTTAACAGCCTCAACACTGTCTGAAACTTCCAAGTTTGAAGTCCCCTTTGAGACTTAAGGCATGCTCAATTGTGAGATCCTGTAAAATCAAAATTTAAACTATATGCTTTCAATATATAAAGACACTCCCATTCTAAAAGGGAGGTATGAGAGTAGAGCAAAGAAAGACATGACAACTTAACAGTGAAAACATGACATCCTAGTTTCATGTCTAGCACGTGGGATGCATTTGGTACTAGCCCTACCTTTATGGGCCTTCTTGCGTGATGCACATATAAGGTCTCTTTTGGACTGGTTCTACTTAGGTGCCTGTAGCTTTCCTTGGTAAATGTTCTACATTCCTGCTATCTCCAATATATTGGGGTCTCCACTGCAATTTAGGCTTTCCCCTCAAATTTGCATGCATAGCCCACTAATAGACTACCAGAGAATCTGACCCTACTACACATTGCCTGGTCTCCCATTCTTTTCTCTAGATTCTTAGTGCAAATGTCCATGACTTGCAACTCTTACATTCTGCAATGCCTACAAAGCCAGCACCATGTGGTTAATGTCAAGTTTTGCTGCCAGCTTGATAAGTAGCTGGGTCTTCTTGGACCTCAGCTGAAGTAGGAGTGTTTATGGAGTGAAACCTGGAAAAATACTTTCTAGGTGTGGCTCTGTCTTTTCAGACATTCTCTTTTTAAATGAAAGTCAAAAGCATTTAGATTTTTATATTCTGAATACTTTGATGAAAGGGCTTTTTCCCTTAGGGTCCTTTTATTTCTTACTGTCCCAATGCAAAGCAGTTGTTTCCTTTTAGTGGCATTAATCTCTTAACAGTTTTATCTACTTTGTCCACAGTTATTTTGTATACAACTTCAGATACAATTGTGCTTCTTTCCTTGCCAAGCTAAATACTTTTATATCTTGCTGTTTTGCTTTTTTTTTTCTCCAATGCTCATAAACTTGGCTAAAATTAGAGAATAGTAAGCCTGAATGCTATGCTTGGTAGGAGTGTAAAGTGAGAGAAAGATGCTTGTTCATATGGCGTAGATCAGGAAACAAAGAGCACAGGCCAGAACATAAATAAATTAAAATTCATTTTTTAAATGTATATGTGTGGATACTACATGAGGTTATGTGTATCATGTGTGTGTAGGTGCTCATGGTAGTCAGAGGGTGTCTTAACCCTTGGAACTGGAGTTACAGATGGTTATCTGATGTCTGATATGAGTGCTGGGAATCTGGGTCCTCTACAAGAGCAGTCAGTGTTCTAAACTGCTGAGTCATCTCTCCAGTCCTTAGTCTATTATTTTTAAGTTCAGCATCACTCAAAGTTTCAGGGCACAAGTGACACATGGCTAATTTTTTAGCCAGAATGTAACACTAATGACCTCTACTCCAATTCCTGATAAAGTCCTTGTTCCCAACCAAAACTTTAATGGGCACAGTCTATACTGTACACCATTTCTAGTGGCATTCTGGTCTTGTGAACAGTTCACTAAGCTCTGCTTACAGTGTTCTATGGCTTTGCTGGCTGGAATCTCCAAATCTTTCCACAGTCTTCCACAAAGGTCTTAGAACCATAGTCAGATTTAATCACAACGACCCCAATTTTCTGCAATAACTACCGTTTTCATCACAAAATACTTGACAGAAGTAATTTAAGGGTGGAAGGATGTATTTGGCTCATGGATTCATAGGGTCTCAGAATATCATAGGTTTGACTTTAATTACAAAAGGCCTTTAAGGAGGTGATTAAAAAATCTACCAGTGTCCTGGCTTGAAATGGAGATTAAGGGACACAGGGGACTGTGTAAAGATGCTGCAAGAAGGTGGCCATCTGCAAACCAGGGGAGAAGAAATCTCTGCCAGTACTTTGATCTTTGGTATCCAGCCTCCAGAATAGCAATAAATTGCATTTCCATGGTTTAAGTCACTCAATCTGTGGTTTCTTGCTGTGGCAGCCTGAGCTAATACAGTTGTCCAAGCCAAAGACTGGCCTTAGTGAAGATGCTGAATAGGCACCACACATACACTTCCCAGGAAATTTCTGACACAGTACCTTCCTGAATGTTTCCTGAACCCTGTCACTTTTTAAGAGTCGCCCTACTTCTGAACACTGTGCTGGAGCATTTTCCCTTGCCAGAGACAGCTAGTCCTGCTTCTACTATTTTATTTTCCTGGTCTTTTGATAAGAAAGTACAAGGAACAGGCACTTAATGAGTACTTAGGAAATGGAGGTGATATCTACTCACTGTTCAGCCATATTTGGGTCCATTGAATCAGTTTCAGTGGGTGTTTCAGGCAAGGAGGAGCCAGATTCTTGGATCTGGCACAATTCCTCATCAGTGATGATGTCAAACACAGCATCATCTGGTGGTCTGCAGAATGAATTTGCTCCTGGTTGGTGGAGGCAAAGCAGGAGAGAAAAAGACATACATACCATTATGCATAAGACTGGAGATAACATAGGGAAGTGAGCTGTGCTGCTATGGAGAACAAGCTGATGGAATACATTTTAAATGGTTTTTTAACTGACTACTCTTCTATGTAGGTATGAGACAAAGAATACTAGGACATTACAGGAGAACAGAGGGACTACAGAAGATTTTGAATATACAGCCTTAAGACCTCTCTCAAAGGCAAAGTAGAAATTTCAGCTACTTCCACATTCTCTAGGACCCTTATTTAGAAGGAAAAAAAAACTATCAAAACTATATCAGAAAAGAAACTAACAAAGAAAATATATGGATCCAATGAGACCTTGCTCCATTAGACACAGTCAGAAATAATTTGAAGCAGGAGATTATCTGACTTGCATCCCCTTCCCCCTTCCAGTTCATTGTTGGGCAGAACAGAACTTCTCTCTATCCAGGGAGCTACAGGAGGCATTGGGTCTTGTGTTTGACCTTGACCACTCAATCTGAAGGCCACTGTGCCAGACAGCTACCCATAAACATGTATCGTGTTTAATATAAGGGTAAGTATGAGGCAGAAGAAAAAAAGAGCAGACAGAAAATGAAAGAAATCAAAACAAGCAATCTCAGCACTCTAACATAGTATCACTTTGTCATTGCTGAATACCTACTGATGAGATAGGGCAAGGGCATTTAGGCTACTAAGTAAGAACAGTTTAGCTGTCCTCTGCTTTAGAGGTAATGATTTTCCTCTCAAGTTTCTGTAACAGAGAACAAGAAGAACAAAGTGACAAAAAGGACTCAGTTACACTCCTGAATTTGTTTTCTGAGGCTGACAAAGGAATGGGAAATAGGCAAGGGAAATACAAAAGAATGCTCACCAAGGGACTAACAAAGACCAGAGTAAACAGAAGCTATATTATGTTCATGGATTGAAATGGACATCACTTTATTAAGATGCCAAATCTCTCCAAATTCAATGAAATCCCAATGAAAACCTCATCATGATTTATTTTTAGAAACTGAGAAACTTATTCTAAAATTTATATGTTCAATAAAGAACAAAATTGGAGGGCTTTCTTTGCCTGTCAGTAAGATGCATTAAGAATCTATGGTAACCAGCTGGACATAGTATAAACATGCCTTTAATCGCAGTACTTCGGAGGCAGAGGCAGGAGGATCTCTGTGAGTTTGAGGCTAGCTAGTCTACATAGTGAGTTCCAGGACAACCAGGGATACATAGAAAAACCAATTCTGTCTCAAGCAACTAAAAATACCAAAAACTAAACAACAAAAAACCATAGACTCTATGGTAACCATACAGTAAGGAATTGGTGGAATGAAAAGGCACACAGATGAATAGAATGAAAGAAAGTCTAGATACAGACTCAAATATATGAGGTCAGTTTTTGTTCTGTTGGTTGTTGTTTTCAATTGGCTTTTGGCAAATATACAAAAGTGATGTGTGTGTGTGTGTGTGTGTGTGTGTGTGTGTGTGTGTGTGTGTGTGTGAGAGAGAGAGAGAGAGAGAGAGAGAGAGAGAGAGAGAGAGAGAGACTGGAGATTTAATCTAGTGCCTTGTGCATGCTAAGCAATCACTCCACCTCTAGCCCCCAATGAAAGGTAATTCTGAGGAAAAAAAATAGACTTTTAACTAATGGTGTTCAAAGCAAAAGATAAAACCACCCCATACTCTACTTATATTATCATCTTACCCCCAAATTAACTCAAAACAGGTTACTCACACACACACACACACACACACACACACACAAATACACACAACACACATACACACACACAATCCTAAAATAATAAAAACTAGAAGAAGCCAGGTGTGGTGGCACACATCTTTAATCTTAACACTCAGGTACCAGAGGCAGGCAGATTTCTGAGTTTGAGTCTAGCTGAGACTACCTAGAGTAACAGGACAGCTGGGCTACAAAGTGAGTCCCTGTCACGAACAAACTACTCACCCAACCACCCACTCACCCAACCAACCCCCCCCCAAAAACCCCAAACCCAAAACTTTTAAAAGAAAAAAACCTTTTGAATACAGGGGTAAGCAAAGCTAGATACAATCTTAGATACATAAAAAAATTGATACATAAAACATGATATAAATATTACTATATCAAAACTACAACTTCTACTTTTCAAAAAGAAAAGCTGTAAATTTGGAAAAAACATTTATAAAACATATTTGATAAAGAATGCATATACAGAATATGTAGGACTTGCAAACTTCAGTTTTTAAAAGACTGAGAAAGATTTGAAGACCCCAATGTTGTGTGTGAAAAATCCCATTCCTGAGTGGTAGGGCCCATTGATCCATTTAAACAAGAGAGGAACAGGATTCTGAAGGTTTCTTAGCCTGCATCCAAGCTCAGATCAAAGGAGAGTTCGAAGGATTAACTGCAGCTAGCAGTGATGGCTGAACAGAGAGAAGTCCCATTTCTGCCATCTCAGCTCTGATCCTTGGCTAGTGTCTAGTAGACAGCCTGGGTCACCTATTAGGGTGATCTGGATGCAGAAGCAGCAGGAATTAAATCCTGTGTCTGTTTCCTGGCTGAGATGGAGGAAACAAAGAATATATTCTCCTTGGTCATTAAGAGAAAGGGAGAAAGATACTAACTTTTGAAAAGGTATAATTACTGGTCTTACATTACCATAGGGTAGATAATGAATATCAGAAGGAGGTCCTGGAGGACTGACTCTTCAATGTATGGAGTGTATTCCACTGGTAGTATGTGTGTAAACACTCTCATATTTAAATCACACTCAATCATGGCAGGAGAAAGTTACTCACTTATCAACCCCAGTAATATGAGAAAGTTTTAGGCTGGTGGTAGTATATATTTAACATCTCTTAGACACCTCAGTTTGGGAAGTATTGAATGAAGTTTGCTCAAGTGAGAAAGCATAGTGAGAAAGCAGTGACATCTATGAATTCAGGAGGCAGAGGCCTGACCTGGGTTTCCTATGGCCTGGGGGCCTGCTTCAGCTGGTGAAACCATGGGGCTAGGCTCTTCCTGGCTTGTGCCAGAACCACTGCTATCAGGGGATCCAGGGCCTTCGCCAAACTTCTGGAAGCAGGCTCGGCAGCAGCGTTCCTTCTTGCCACTGGGCTTAGTCACAGCATAATTGTTACAGCAGTAGTAACAGAAGATTCGGCCACATATCCTGGGAATGAAACAAGCACAGGCTGTGAGGATGGTGCACAAAGGATTGTACATCATTAAGATCTGCTAAGCACCACAACAGGTCTCTGTGTTAGGCTCCTGATGGCCCATGACTCTCCAGACCTAGCTCTGCCCTCAATGTAGAGTATGCTGTAAGCCCATTTCATAAGATTCCAACAAAACCATCATGATGAGCTTAGTAGAGAATGGTTTACTTCCATAGGTCCTCGAGGCAGGGAGAAAAGGTCTGACTAACATCAGGCTACAGGTATGCATTCCACATTTACTGTTGGGAGTGGTAAGTCTCTAAGAGAGCACTTACCTGTACCCAACTACCAATCTGCCCTTTCTTTTTACCTATCTTTCCTATGTGCTGATAGCATCTGTGTTCTCTAGCACCATCTGCATTCCCACATAGCTAAAGGGTTGCTGGTCTCTGAGTATATCATATGCCTGTGAGTTCTTTTTTTTTTTGGTTTTTCGAGACAGGGTTTCTCTGTGTAGCTTTGTGCCTTTCCTGGGACTCACTTGGTAGCCCAGGCTGGCCTCGAACTCACAGAGATCCGCCTGGCTCTGCCTCCCGAGTGCTGGGATTAAAGGCGTGCGCCACCACCGCCCGGCTTACCTGTGAGTTCTCTTAATCCCACCCACATTTCCTTTCAGGGGGCCTTGAGTGTCCTGCTAGGAAGCAAAGTGCTTTTCCTAGATAGATAGTTATGGTGCCCACACTTATCTCAGATCCCTCACCAGAGCCATCTGTCCTGATCTGGTGAGTTGCCTGTTGCTAACCTGCAGTGGTGCCGCCGCACTATCCAGCTGAACTCCCGCTTGCAGTCATGGCAGTGGTTGGCCTCCATGTCCCCAAGACATTTCTCTTCAGCACTAAGCTTTTGCTGGAATTCCAGTGCATCAGACTTTTGCCAGAGTGCATCTTTGTCCCTGCAATAACACATTTTAAGAATCCATGAGAAGCAGAGAATGACCCCTGCTTCATTTCAGAAAGCTGATATCAAATGTTCCAGGCCATAGAAGCTAAATCACTTTCCTTGTAAATGCCCCCTCCCCAAACACAGAAATCCAAAACACAGGCTCTCTGACATCTCCAAAGGAGCCCCCAAACATTGGTTCTTTGACCCCATGTATGTGAGAGCACGTAAGAGGCACATGATATACACAAAAGACTGTGTCATCCACAAGGAACTGCCAGCACTGATATATCATTCAAGTATCTAACACCAAAAACAAATTACTACTGGAAGCAGTATGCTATCAAGTTGATAATGGGCATACTATGAGTGTGCATGCAATAAGCAATTTGCCTGCATGTATGTCTGTGTACCATGTGTGTGTAGTGCCTGTGAAGTGTGAAGAGGGTATCTGATCCCCTAGGATTGTAAAAATAGTTGTGAGCTGCCTTGTGGATGCTGAAAATTGAACCCGGGTCCTCTGGAAGTGGGTAAGGGTTAGGAACATAGAGATGGCTGGTTTTTTTCACAGATACCTAAATTGTAAGAAGACAGGCTGACTCATCTTCTGGACCAGCTTGTTCTTCCAGCTAGTCCACAGCATCTGACCTCTATGTCCCTAGGAAGCCAGATACTCACACCCTTGAATGTGAGAATGCTACTTGGTTTCTCTACCACATTCCTCAAGAAAATATCTGGAATTCTAATGAGTGAGTAGGTCTAGGCATGGTATACTCATGACTGCTACCACCACAAGTGGAAGTGAGTGAGATCTTATCTGCCTTGGGTTTTATCAAGTGTCTCTTGACACATTCATTTTTCAAGGTATAGTTGTGTAAGAGCTCTTGTCTTGGAAGCTGGGTGTGGTACTATACATTTTTAATCCCAGAACTCAGGAGGCAGATAGATAGGTAGATTTCTGTGAGTTTGAGGCCAGACTTATCTACATAGGGAGTCTCAGGCTAGCCAAGGCTACATAGTAAGGCCCTGTCTTAACATAAAATACAGCAAAACAAAGCAAAAAGATTCCTTGTCTTGGAAAGTTTGATATGGAATGTTCATAGATAAAGTAATATGTCTGGGTTTTGCTTCAAAGCAATCTAGAGGTGGGAAAACAAAAGTGGTCATGGGTTGATTCCTGTTGAGGCTGAATGATGCAGAACTGTTACAACTTGAGTTTGAAATAACCCCTCATGTGTTTGATCTCTTCGCCCCCCCACCCCAAAGCTAGTGGTGCTATTTGAGGAGGCCATGGAACTTTTGGGATGGAAGGCATGTCTGGTGGAGGTGGTTATTAGCAGTCTCTACTTTCTCATCTGCTAAGACATGGACTGAACCAATCCCACTGTCATGCCTTGCCTGCCAAGACTGACTGAAACTGTCTGGACTCCGAGCCAGAATAAATCTTTCCTCTCTTAAGTTGATTTTGTCAATGTTTTGTCACAGAAAGGAAGAAAAGGAAGGAAGGAATGAACGAAGGAAGGAACGAACGAAGGAAGGAATGAAGGAAGGAACAAAGGAAGGAAGGAAGGAAGGAAGGAAGATACAGTTATAGTATTTTATCTGGCATTTTTAATTCCTTTAAGAAAAAGTTAAAGTTGTAAGTGACTTGTAAGCATTTAACAACCAGGACATTTCACATAAAAGCCCAGCTTCCCACATCTGTCTTGGGAAGTAAGGCACCATGGTTACTTTTGAGTGGCAAGAGTGGAATAGGCTGGGTCCCTCAGAGTCCCTTCTAGTTTGGTTCCCACATAGACACTGCTGCTAGATCCCTACAGGGAGCCCCAATCCTAGGAAAGTGGGATAGTACAAGAGGAGAAGGTTCACTGGAGATGGGGAAATGACCAAAGTTACTAAATGTCATTTTTATTGTCATTCTTTGCCAGGCATCCAGAGTTTGAACATAATCCTGCATCCACACGAAAACCCAAACCACTGGTGCGATCAGGGAGATCCAGCCTTCAAGACTGCAAAAGCCTAGCTGGATCCTGCAGAAATATGGCTCCCTGACAGCACACCACTGGGCAGAACTTGAGGAGAAGAGCCCATTTCCATTGAACTGTCATTTTCAGAAATGTTTTTTTCTAAGAAAAGCCAATCCTAGACAGGGTCCCCAACTGCCTCACACTCACCTGAGCAGCTCTATCAGCCGTTCCTCAAGGTATTTCTTGGTTCTGTTCAGGTCGTCTAGGTCTGCAAGCAACTTCTGGTCATTCCTTTCCCTGTTTGTTACCTCCTGGCAGAGTTTGTTGTAATATTCTTGGATTTTTGATGTGGCTTTTTCAAGTTCTTTCTGAGTTCTGGGAGAGGAGAAATAATTTTTCCTGGTTAGCTCTGATATTCAGCTTCCTGGAATCTCTGGGCTCTCCTGGCCTTCAATAAGAGGTTCTGCAGTCCTGTCAGCCTTTCCCTCTCATGGTGAGGCATGACCTGCTCACTGGTTATGCATTATGCTACAATCTGAGACTCTCCCTACCTCCCCTTCAAACATGAGGGGGTATTCTGAGATGGCAGAGACATTCCAGGATGCTAACGTTTTTAGTGAGTGAGACATGACACTCCTGTAGGGATTTCTGGATAAGAGTTAGGTTGGCAGGAGCCAGATGGGAAAAGGCTTATGGGGGTGGTGATGGAGGATGAGCAGGGGTGAAGAGTCAGGACATAAAGGAGAGGTGTGGTCTCTCAAAGGTGGTTATAAAGAAGGACCTTGCTCTCAGGTGTCTTTAGGACTCTGCCTTGAGGAGGGTGCTGGGCCTTTAGTAGGTCTTCTACCCGATAAGTCCTCCAATCCCCTGAAATTCTGTCTTAGGCCTGTGGAATCTTAGCATACGGCAGAGGGGGCTGGTGGAGCTGGCTGTCTGTCCAACCCCATGCATTCCACATGTAGTTTAACTATCCCCTTATGTGGCAATTTCTAAGGATGTTAAAAAAAAACCCAAGACCCAGTAAGGTATTTGTAAGAACTCCATTAAACAGAGGTTCTATGAAAAGTCTACATTGTTTGCATACTTTCCAGTCAAGTCTAATACATAGCTATCAGAGGTTATTTGTTATTCAATGTCCACAAAATGATTTTAGGGTACATAACACAAAACATCAAGGGAGGTCTAATCCTAGGCAGATGAACTGTGCAATTCTGAGCAGCTAAAACAAATCTTCTGAGATCTTCCACATAACCATTCTTACAGCATTTTGTTTTGTTTTTTGAAATAGGGTCTCATTATGTAGCTCTGGCTGGCTTGGAACTTGCTATTTAGACTAGGCTGGCCTCAAACTCAAAGAAATCCACCTGCTTTTTGCTCCCCCGAATGCTGGGATTAAAAGCATTTACCACAGTAGAGCTGACCCTGTTGACAGGCCTGCAGGTAATCCCCCTTCCCCCTTCCTACCCTGTGAAAGTGCATGGGAGATCTGGGACCACCCCTCCTCTGCCATATGGTGGAGTGAGTAAGGGAGAGAATACCTCCCCTCTCCCCTCGCCACCTGTGGTGGGTGGGAGAGCTGGCTCTGGGGTCATGAGAATGGGAGACTCGGCATTGTACCTCACCCATACACTACTGGTAGAGCTGACTCTATTGGAGGGGGTGAGGTGAGAGGGTGTGGCACAGGTGAGTTGGCCTGGAGGGCATGGGAGCAGGAGAGCTGGTCCTGCCCCTCACTGGCTGCAGCACATAAGGGAGCAGTCCCTACAACTCACCTGGGGAGCACACTAGAGCTGCCCTGGTGGGGGCGCAGGTGAGCCAGTTCTGAGGATGTGCGAGCAGGACAGCTGCACCTGCCCCTCTCTCATATGCGATGTGGTAATGTGGATGGGGGAAATAGTGCTAACTGCAGCAGGCAAGAGAGCTGGGCAAGAGAACGGAGGAGCTGGTCCCATTTCTCACCAACTGCAGCAATTGGGACATATAATTGGCCTAGGCAAAACAGTAGAGTTGGCCCTGGTGATGTGAGTGTGGGTGAGCAAGGCATGAGAGCAGGAGAACTGGCCCTGCTGACTGCTGCTTTGGGTGAACTAGCTGGGGGCAGTGCTAGAGCTGCCCTGGTGGTGATAACGAGAGAAACCTAGTGGGCTGACCAACCCAGTTATCATGCAGGCCCAGAAACAGGGCTATGAAGTAGCCCACCCCAGCATCTACCTCATCTATGAACTGCTGGAAGGGCTGGATCTGCAGATCCAAAGCTATAGGATCCTCATGACACAAGACAACAGGATATTCAGGAGGAGTCCCAGTGAGGGCCCAGTATCTATAGAGTAGTAGAAGCCAGAGGTCTTGAATCAGACCAATGATCCACTGCAAACACTTACATATTAGATGTATGGACTAATGGGCATACTGTGTGACTCACTGGGCCACACTACATCTTCCACGCCAAAATTTTTTCTTTTCCTTCTTCTTTTTTGTTTTGAGGCTATACTTTTACATTTTACCACGCCGGGAGGCGGGGGGTGGGGGGGGGTGGGGGAGGGAGAGGGACAAGAGTCACAAGGGCAGAAAACAGAGTTGAGGGGATGGGGAGATGAGTGAGATTGGATGCATGATGTAAAATCCACAAAGTATCAATAAAGTTTTAAAAAATATGCCAGCATACCTGGCTTTCATTCTTACAGCATTTAAAAATACCAGTTCAAATGTGTCCTCTGTTTAAATCACATGAACAAGACCTGGCTAGGAGCTGTCACTGGGCTTCTTCACTAAATCCAGACCTAAGCAGGAAGGCAGGCAGCAGGAGAAAAGGCATGCGTACAGGCTCAGGACAATCTGATATATTTACTTTTGCTGGTGGCACCCAAGGGATCCTCTTCCTGATCAACTGTTCTTAGCAGGTCCTAGCTACACCATCTTGGCCCCATCTCCAGAAGCAGGCTCAGGTTTACAACTCCACATGGCCTCAAGCTGAAAGTGATAAACTAACTGAGAAGAAACTAAACCCTCTCACAGGACTGTTGGGAAGACTAAATAGTTAATTATAGGTTAAACATCCCTAATTTGAAAATCTGAAATCCAAACTGCTCTAAAATATGAAAACAATGCCCTTCTGCTCCCAAGCCTTTCAGCTAAAGATGCTCAGCCTGCACAAGCAGCATTTAGAACAAGCCACACTGCAAGCAGGACTCAATGCTGGTTGCTATTCCCATTATTCTCATGCTCTAACTGTGCTTGCTTTCAGTTTTTTGGAAACATGCAGTTAGTGTGTACCTTGCTGGAGGTAAAAAGCTGCAGCAGATGAAAGGCACGTTGCCTCCTGTGAACTATGGCAGAAAGATAGCTGACTTTTCTGTGGCAAGCTTCTGGCCCCGCATGACTTTTGCACGATTTAGTGACTGACCTTTCTAGGTTTATTTGAAGAGTAGTGCTTTCTTCGTCTTTGTGCTGCAAAGTGGCCTGGCACTTTGCAAGGTGGCTGCTGGTACAGTTCAGTTTCTCCTCCATGGCTGCCTTGGTGACCTGGTATAAGATATGCAGGAGAAGACACAAAACTTACAAAGCTTACTCTCCATGGAAGAAGAGACTGGTATGCTACTCACACTTCCTGACAGGGCCACTTGTAAGGGGAAGGTTTTTGGGCTCATGAGGTCAGAAACCTGTGTTCTCTATTTGTGGGGCATGATCTGATCTTCAGTGGGGTGCTAGCGTGCAATGGCATGGAGTGAGGTTACCTGTGGGACCAGTGTCACTTCACTGGCACTAGAGAATGTCAACAGAGGTGACTAAGAACAATTTCCTTTTAGACCAAAGTCTAGGGAGGGAAAAGAGTCATGACATAGACTTGGGATACTATCTGAACCAATGACAGTCTCAGTTTGAGAACTGGCAGCATTTTGAGGAGCATCTGACAACAATGTAGTAAAAACACACCAGATCCCCTTGATAGCAACCCTGCCAGGCCTACCTTCAGCTCCTGCAAAGCCTCCTGAGTCATTTGCAACTGCTGGCTTTGCTCTTCTAGTTGGGCCCTGAGGCGCCCACACTCTTCATTGGCTGTCTGGAAAGAATGAGAAAGACATCATGCTGTGGGATAATGCTCTTGTACACTGTAAAGATTTGTCACTTGAATTAGTTTAATAAAATGCTGACTGGCCAGTAGCCAGGCAGGAAGTATAGGCAGGGTGACCAGACTAGGGGAATTCTGGGAAGAGGAAGGAAGGGTGGAGTCAGGAGTCACCAGCCAGACACAGAGGAAGCAAGATGAGAATGTCACACTGAGAAAAGGTACCAAGCCACATGGCTAAACAAAGATAAGAATTATGGGTCAAGTAGAAGAGCTAGTTAGTAATAAGCCTGAGCTACCGGCTGTGCATTTATAAGTAACAATAAGCCTCAGAGTCAATTATTTAAGAAGCAGCTGCCAGGTATTTGGGAACAGGCAGGTGAGAGAGAAACTTCTGCCTACATATGGCTGGCAAGAATTTCCACATAAAACCTGAGAAAGCTTAAAAAAGGATTCTAAGCATACAAAAACAGAGTCAAACTTGGCTTCTTGGTAACCACTTTTTCTCTGGTGGGCTCTGTTTGCTGGTGGCAAGCAGAGGCATGGCTCCTTTAAGAGATGGCTTCCCGACTCAGTGTTAGCGGCAAAAACTGCACAGCTCTTTTAGAGGCCCTGCTGCCAAGCACTTATATGGTGTTTATGAGCAGCTGGTGGCTGCTACTCAGTTGTGGTGATGTGGACCTAAAACCTCCCCAGAGTTGGGGACGATACACGTGTGTGGCTCACGCCAGTACCTCTGCCATGAAGCTAGACTCTCAGGAAGCCAAGGGATGGGGTTGAACCAGCCACTTTAGTCCTAGTCACGCCTGCTTAGAAGATAAACACTCATGTGATCAGAAAAAGACAGAGATATGCAGTAAGGACAGAATCAGACAAAACAACAAACAAACAAAAAACAAAAACAAAACAACAAAAAACAACCTCTGAACAGTTGACAGTTTAAAATATACATAAGCTTGGGAGAGAAAAGAGAAGGTGTAGACAGTCATAAAAAAGAAATATATAGTTTTAAAATAATAAAGTCTTTAAAAAGGAAGTAAAATAATATTTTAAAAAAGCCACATAAAGATGGAAGATACACAGAGAGTCTGGATACTGTATGTTATTGTGTTGTCTTTGAATTGCTTGCTGTATGAGCAACAGCTGATAAGAGACATTTGATTATAAATGTTGCTGGATTAATCCAACCTATATATTTTGAAAATGTCTTGACTTCAAAATTTAAGTCAAGAGATATGTTACTTTGGAGAAGAGGTTATGCTTTTATTTCCACAGGAAATGAGACGCTGTGGATTCATTCTGTGTTTAAAAAAAAAAAAGTCAGATTTGGTTAAGGAAGACTCCCTGAAAAAAATCTCCAATGGGAAAGATGGCCCAGATGATCCAACCTTTTGGGGTGCCTCTGTTGCAGTTTCCTCTGAGTTCTGAATCCAGAAAGGCTTCAAGGTAGCTGGCTGAGATGGTCCAGCCTCACAGACTACTCCAGCTAAGACTTAACCATTACCCTAAATTTTCTCAGGATTCCCAGCACCGCCGCCACTCTCCCTACACCTCCCCCCGCCACAAGCAGCAGGAAATAGTCTAGAGAACTACATCGACATTCCCAAAAACAAATTATGAACGTTTGTCATCATTTAGTGGGGTTAGTTACAAGTAGTTATAGATAATGGTCAGGAAAAAAGCTAAACAAAGATCAGATTCAGGGATCTTGTTCTGAAAAGAAGAGACGGGATACAGAAATGATAGGATAAAAGGGTAGACCTTTAATCCAAAAAAACAACTATTAATCTTACATATTTTACATTGGTATGGATTTTAGTTTATTGATATAAATTTAAAGTTAATCTTGTTATACTGTATGTATATTTCTGTTCTTGTTTAGGGTATTGTGTTTATGTAGCTCATTTAAAAATGTAATATATAATTAAGAAATACAGATTAATAGTCATCTATAATAGCAAAATTATAGTCATGTTAGGTATGTTTTCAAGTTCATATAGAGATATATTTCAGATAGATAGGCAATCTTCAAACACTTCAAAGACCTATAGAATATGGCATTTAAAATGTTTTAAGAACTTAGACTTTTCTTGACAGTGAGACACATCTGTTCCTGGCAGCATCAATTACTTCAAAGAGGACGACGGGCATCAAAGACACTCCATATGGACTTTGTTTTCTTTATGGCGAAAGCTAGTCATGTAGGCAAAGAAAGTGCCCTTGCCTCAACTGCTGACAGCATGCTGTACAAACTGGACAAGCAGGGCACAAAAGAAAGGACTGCAGAACTTTGCCAAGACAAGGTGGGACAGTCCTTCAAAAATCCTGCTTCAAAGATAAGGCTAGGCCTGTAGTCTGAAAATGGATGCCCCAATGTTACAGAGAAACTTTGGGTGACTGTCCAGGCAGATGTCCCTGTCACTAGATAACATTACATCCTTCTGGGGTCTTTGATGGAGTTGAGGACTAAATAGTTATAACTATTGTTTTCCTTAGTTATAATAGAAAGTAAATTAGATACAAAACTTTAGGCTCACCAAGATAAGAAAGGTAATTAAGTACTTTCTTGAATTTTGTCAAATGAAAATGGACTGGATATTGTTACTATAATTCTTACTTAACTGTTTTTGTTTTTGTTTTTGTTATATTAAGGTTAAAACTTTCCTTTTTAATTAGACAAAAAAGGGGAAATGCTGTGGGATAATGCTCTTGTACACTGTAAAGACTTGTCACTCAAACTGCTTTAATAAAACATTGTTTGGCCATTAGCCAGGCAGGAAGTATAGTTGGGGTGACCAGACTAGGAGTCTAATTCTGGGAGGAGGAAGGGCAGAGTCAGGAGTCACTAGCCAGACACAGAAGAAGCAAGATGAGAATGTCACACTGAGAAAAGGTACCAAGCCACGTGGTTACATATAGATAAGAATTAAGGGTTAACTTAAGTGTAAGAGACAGATAGTAATAATCCTGAGCTACTGGCCCAGCATTTATGAATAATAATAAGCCTCAGAGTCAATTATTTAAGAAGCAGCTGCCGGGTATTTGGGAACAGGCAAGTGGTAGAGAAACTTCCACCTACAGCATCATAAGAGAGAGGTTCTTACTCTGAGATTCCTTCACCTTTATCACCCAAATGGTTTCCAGAAACACAACTGCACTGTTTCCCAAAGTGGCTCTTCAACAAGCTTCTTCTCTACTGGTAACAAAATACTTGCAAGTTTACAAGGGAAAGAGTCTCACCTTGTTCCTCAAACAGAATTACTTTCTGCAAGGGAAAAAAGTGGCCCATGAGCCTCATGGGGCTTCATGGGGTGGGGAGGGCACTCTTAGGAAAGGGCAGGAAAGAGTGCAGAGTGGCCTGAGAGCACAGAGGCCTAGGTACAGGCTCACTAGGATACATACTGGAAATCAAAGTACTGTGGCTACTTGTCCATGTTCTTATCTACCATTTTTTAGCCCCTTTTCTTCATGCAGTATCAAAGACTCATGGTCTACTGGGTCTCAGATTTGTCTGCTTTAAGGGCCTTGTTTTTCTAAACTGAACCAGTTCCATACACCCTGTCAGCCATCAGAATAGGATCCACAGAAGCTGATTATTTAGTAAGGACTAGAGTCAGGACTCAAGATGTCATAGACTGGTGACCCTATCAAGGATGGGCTCCAAAAGATAAGGCAGGGCTAGAGGCTGAAACTTATGTGTGGAAGGGGCTATACACAAACACACAAAAGGGGAAGCAGCAGAAGGGTGTGTGCACTCTTTGAGCTGTTGCTGCCTGCTACCTTGTGGAGATATGGAAATGGGGTATTAGATCTGCTGAGAATTCAAACAAAGTCACAAAACTGAATTTGTATACATCTGTTCTGTCAATGTTGGCTACAAATTTTAAAAAAGTTCTGTGTGGGTCAACATCTGCCATGGCCAAAGTGGAGGCTCCTAAGTGAAGTTATTACTCTCCAATGCTCTGCCTGATGTGTTTCTGCAAAGAAATGTGAGCTACCAAAGTTGAATGGAACCAGGACATTCTCTGGTCTTCACCTTTTTCTTGCTGCAGGGCCATCTAATTGTGGAGCCACCAGGTATACCTTGAGAGATGGCTAAAGCTGGGCTTACCTTCAATCTGTTCTGGTGGTCCATGATCTCAGCACTTAACTGGAACTTGAGGGCATCTCGCTCCTGGTGTGCAGCTTCTTGGAGGCTCTGAGTCAGCTGCTCAGCCTGAGCCAGCTGTGCCTGTAGACCAGAGAATGAACTAGCTGCCTCCTCAGCTGCCTTTAGCTTTTCCTGCAAGCTCTCCTTCTCTTGCTGTAGTCCCATCACTTGAAGCTCCAAGCCCTTTTGTTCCCGTAGTGCTGCCTCTTTGGAGTCCTGGAGCTCCTGGGTCAAGCTGGCCAGGGCCCCCTCCATCCGATCCTTTTCGGCTGTCAGGGCACAGACCTGTATGCCAAGCTCAGCTGTGTCTGTGTTGGCTCGGTGCAGCTGGTCCTGTAGCTCTGCATGCTCCAGGTGGGCTCCCTCAGAGCTGCACCTCACCCGTGACAGCTCTGCCTGCAGGGCTCGTAGCTCTTGCTCCTGCTTCTGGGCCTTGTAGATGCGCTCCTCCTGCAGTATCCCTTCTCGCTCTGAGCACTGTAGCAGTTCCTGAACATGGGCCCTGTTGAGGGCTTCATTCTGCTCTTTCAGTTGTTGCACCAGGGTCTTGTGCTCCATCAGGACTGCCTCAGCCACACCCAGCTGGCTCTGTAACTTGTCTCGGTCACCTAAGGCCACTTGGAGCTTGGCCTGGAGGTCCACCACCTCATTCTGTAACCGCTGGGCCTCCCCCTGGTGAACTTCTAGCTGTGCTTGAGACAGGGCCAGTTGGGCTGTGTTGAGTTGTGGTAGGCTGAGTCCCTGGTGGCCTTTTTCTGCAGAGAGGGCCTCAATCAGTTGAATCTGCTGCTGGCACTGGTTCTCAAGAGCCCTGAGCTCCTGGTCCTGGGCCTCTGTTCGAAGCCGGCACTGATCTGCCTCTTCCTGCAGCCGCCGGCACTCACCCTCCTTACTCTGCAGGGCAGCCTCCTTCTCTGCCACCTGGGCCTTCATAGTCTCTTTGGCTTTCCTCACAGCCAAGAGGCTTGCTTCCATTTGGTCTCCCAGGTGCCGGATGCTGGCTTGCTCAGCTTCCAGGGAGGCTAAGGAGCCCTGGATGGCTGTCTCTCGCTGCTGCAGTGCCTTGTAATCTGTTTGCAAGGCTTGAAGTTTTCCTTCTAGGAGCTGGTTGCGCACAGCCATGTTCTGCAGCTCCTTCTGTAGCTCCTGGTTGACCTTTTGCAATTCCTCCTGATCTCCCCCTGGCACTGTGCAAGTTTTTAGCTGTTCTTCCTGGAGGTATTGCTGCCCCTCTTCTGGCATCTCCCCAGTCTGTGGTGGGACAGAGCTTAGGGAGACCAGAGCCTCCCTATTCTTGTTGGCCCCATGCACCTCAGCTAGCTGCTCCAGTGTGCCCACTTTCTGGCTGAGATGGTCTCTGTCCTGCATAAGGTGCTTCTTCTGCTCCTCCAGGTCGCTCACAAGCTGACTCACCTGTGCTAATTGGGTCTCTAGAAGTTGCAGGTGCCATGTCAGAGACTTGGCCTCCTGTTCCAGCAGCTGCTTTTCTTCTCGATGCTGCTTTTCTTGCTGCCTGGCTTCTGCCAGCTCCTCCTCCACAGAGCTCAAGTGGCCCAGGGATTCCTGTAGCTGTCGTCGGAGCTGAGCTGACTCTTGCTTCTTCCCAGCTAGCTCTTCCTGAAGTGGGGCCACATCCTTCACTAAGTGCTCTAGGCCAGCCCGGGCCTCCTCCTTCAGCTGTAGTTCCTTGGCCAGCTGCTCTAGCTTGATATTCTGCTGCCTATTTAGTTCCTGGGCCTTGGTGTTTTCTCCTTCTAGGGCTTCAAGTTTTCCCTTCAGTTCCTGGAACTTCAGGGCCATGTCGGCAGGAACTGGCTCTTGAAGAAACTTTGTGTCCAGAGCTGGATTTGCTGCTTTCTCAGTCCTGGCTAGGCAATCTGAAAGGCTGGCTAGAAGCTGGTTATTCCTACCCAGAGAGTTTCTCATAGCCTCAAGTTCCTGTGCCATGGTCTCAAGCTGCAGGGCTAAGTGGCTGTTCTCTTTCTTGTCTACATTCAGCTCCGAGGCCTGCAGACATTTCTGTAGCTTCTTCACTGTAGCCATGGTGACCTCCCCCTGCTTCCGGAGCTCTACCACCAGGCCCAGGAGGCCAATGCTATCCTCCACTGTAGGGTACCCCTTCTCCTTTTCTACCTGAAGCTGTTCCCCTTGCCTGCTGATCATCACTCGAAGTGCTTGGTTCTCCCTGTCTAGCTGCTGTACATGGTCTTGTAGCTGTTTCTCCCGAACCTCCAACTGGTCCAGCTCCAGTCGCATCTCATCAAAACCTTCTAGTGCTTCATTGTTTAGAGAACTGTTTAGGTCAAAACTGGAGGCCATCTCTTGAGTCTAAGGGGAAGTAAAGGACAGGAGGCTTTTTAGAATGAAGCTGCCCAACTATTTGGTAAGTTTTTTTATTTGATGAAAATAGAAGTAAAAACAAAGGGATTACCTAACCTAAGGCAAGCTTTTAGAGCCATTCCAAAGACTAGAACTCTTACATTCAAAGCATCTGCCACAAGGTCTGAGCACATTCAGGGTTCCACAAACCCCACTGATAAGCAGACTCACATCTCCGTCCAGCCTCCATCAGCTTTATGAGTTTAAAGGACATTGGTTCTTAGAAAATCTAAACTCAGTTACACTGAAATTATGGTTAACCCACTGTATTATACCAATAGCACCATTGCATGACAAAAATCACAAAAAGGTCAAAGAGTAGTCTTATCTATCTATCTTTCTATCTATCTATCTATCTATCTATCTATCTATCTATCTATCTATCTATCTATCTATCTATCTATCTATCGGTTTTTAGAGACAGTGTTTCTCTGTGTAACAGCCCTGGCTGTCCTGGAACTCAATATGTAGACCAGGCAGGCCTCATAGAGATCTGCCTGCCTCTGCCTCCTGAGTGCTGTGATTAAAGGCATGCACCACCATGCCCAGCTCATCTTTTCTATTTTGAATGCTCTTTATACATAATGAGCATTTTTGTACTGCAAATAAATTTCTATTATACAGTTATAATAGGTTCACATTTTTAGTACTTCCTGATCCCTTGTTCTTAAGCACCCTTTCACTTGCTCCTCCACTTAGGACCAGGATGATTTCATTACCTCCTCTTAAGAAGAAAGTGTTGAAGCTTCTAAGTAATTTCCCCTTAGTTGGATGCTGGTAGGTGGCAGGGTCAATTCTAACCTCAGTTCTAACCTCTATCTTGTAAGATACTTTAAAAAATATTTTAAGAGTTCAGTTTTAAAAGGATCTAAATTTTATCTGACTGTAAAAATCTAAATTCCAGGGCATAGAGGATATAGTTTGAGGGGTTATATCACTCTGCTTAGAACAACAAGTATTTGAAAGGATTATCCTTGAATTGCTAGGGAAAAGACATACCCTGGTCACCCTAACAGTCTGCTAACTCCAGCCTTCCTGACATTACCTGCAAGTAGTTGCTCACTAAACTGCTCATGCTGGAGCTTCGGCTGGGGGGTTTCCACATGTAAGCAGAAGAGCTGGTGGCCAGTGTCCTCCTGTGGGGCCACAGAACAGACACACTTGTATTCAGATGAGAAAACAAACTCAAGTATACACACACACACACACACACACACACACACACACACACACACAGAGGCAGTGGTGCTGACAGTTACTAGGCAACCAGGGGCAGTAGGATATGGTCTGTATATCATTTGAGTATGTCTACTAAAGGGTTCATATGTTGGTCCTTAGAATGGTGGTACTGAGAAATGGTGGAACCTTTAAAAAGTGTGGCCAATATAAGCCTTTAGATCAACTGGGGATATGCTGTTTGAAGGCACTATGGTACTCTAACCTCTGCCTTACTATTTGGGACATGTGTGTGATCTCTTACTTCTGCATAAAATACACCCCATCTCCTCTCCACATGCTCTAAAATGATAGTCAAGGGGATCCCTTGCCAGAGCCTGGGCCATCAGGCCTTCAGCCTCTAAAACTGTGAACTAAACAAGCCACCCTCTTTTTTTTTTTTTTCCTCCTAAAAGGAAGACTTTCAGACTCTTTCTTTAAATTTGACGATTTATTTTTATGTGTGGTATGTGTGTCAGGGGGAGGCCAGAGGAGGATACCATATTCTTTGAAGCTGGAGTGGTTGTGAGCTGCCTGATATGGGTTCTGGGATTTGAATGTGGGTCTTCTGGAAAAGCAGGAAGCATTCTTAATTGCTGAGCCATGTCCTCAGACTAGAAATGTCTTTTATTTATAAAGTTAGTCTGCTTCGGGTTTTGCATTACAGTAAACAATGAATGAATGCAGGAGTACTCTTTCCTTGATGGAGCATAAAGAGGAAAACATAACACTTCTCTCCAAGAGCAGATCTCCCTGGGCTTGTGGCAGGTACTCCATTGCTGTAGTTTAAACATCATGGTGTGGGGTTAGAGACGGCCCAGCAGTTAAGAATGCTTGTTGTGCTGGCTTTTGCATTCCAGCACCTATGTAACTAACCAGGTGTCCCAGATACCCTTGAAATCCCATCTCCAAGGGAGGTGAAGACAGGGGGATCACTGGGGTTTTCTGGCTTCTAGCTTAGAGGAGAAAACTTGAGTCTCAGTTTCAGGGAGATACCTTGCCTCAAAAGAATAGAATAATAGAGTGGTGCCCTCTTCTGACATCTATGCACATGCACATACACACACGCATGCACTCACATATACACACATATAAACAACTGAATCTAAATGCTTTCTCCCACTGTCCGAAAAAAAAAAAATCCCAAGTAGATACATTTTCCAATTTTTGGTTATTTCTTTGAGTTTTAGGTGCCTGTCACAGACTATTTGCCAATGAGGAAAAAAGCAACATTCAACCTAGTTTTTAGAAAAAGTCCCACTGTTCTGAGAGGTTCATCTACAATGTGGCTAAAGGCATGATTGCAGTTCATGTGGACATACTGGACAGGGCAACTATATACAAAGTCTCCTTTACTGAATAAAGTTCTACTGGATGTTGTGGGTCTGAAATATAGAGGCTTATAAGATAACTCTCAATTCACAGGAACATTGTGATCTAATCTCACTTTTACCCTACCAGAATCAACCTATAGTTATTGAACTGTCAAACCTATTAGTCCTCTCAACCTAGCAAGGACCTTAGCCAAGAGTGCCGCACAACCACACATGTGTGTGTAGTGTGAGGATGGAGGAAGGAAACTCTTGGTACATTATCACTGTGGAAAGGTGGAATAAGCCTAACTCCACCAGAGGGTGTCACACCTGGTTATGGTTACTCATGCAGTAGAATATTCTACACTGTGGATGTTCTAAATATTTTGAGCTTGTGAAATAAATAGTCTGTATCACAACTACTCCTGCATGAAATCTGTCATAGAATACAAAAAGAGATGGGCAAAGTTGCTTCACTTAGTGCTATGGTTTGCTTCTATCCTACAGTCATAGAACCACAAGTGTAAACACAAGTAAAACTAAACAATATTAAATGAAAAAGGCAAGTATGAAATAATAGCTTTTTCATGATTCATTGTGCATAACATTTTGAAAATGCATATAACATTATCATAAAGCATTTATGGTTACATATACATATAGTGAAAATAAAGTCTTGCTATTGACATGCCTCAACCATGGTGCTGTGTTTACTTCTGGAAAGGAAGAAGGAAAAAGACAGCACAAAGGTGGAGCCTTAGTTAGATCTACAGTATTTTATTTCTTAAAAAAAAGAATGTATCATATAGAAGAAAGAAACCCTACAAGTATTAGCCCGAAAGGTCTCCCACCAGACAAATATGGGTAAGTTAAGGTCATAAATAACTGCAGAATGTAATCTACCAAACAACAACAAAACAATCCCCCCAAAACAAAAACAAAAACCCACCATCAACAACCCCCTCACCAGAGTTAATACTGAGATAAATGAATAAATAAATGGGGAAGGCAGAAAAAAATAATTGTGAAGCTATATGTAATTTCCTGAGCAAGCAAAATGGCTAGGCAGATGGGTAGCTGTCTTCAAAACATTGAACATCTCTTTCCTTTACTTTAAAAAAAAAGCAATTTCCCAAAGTACCTGGCAAATGTCGGCCAGGCGGCATCCAGGTCATAGCCCCTTGATGCTAGATCAAACTGAACCTCAGTCAGCTCATATAGTTGTCCCACGATGTCAGAGCTCAGCTTTGGCTTCAGAAAGGGGCTTCTTACATAATACCAGTCACTGCAGAAAACATACACCATGTGAATTGAGGAGAAACAAGAATAAGCAAAGAATGAATCTACTCAAGACTGTCCTGTGTGGTTCTACCTCATCAAATCCAGTAACTCATGTTACTAAATCAAAAAATAAGCAAACCATTTTATCTTTCACTGCTGGACCATGGGTTCTCAAATAAGCTTTCTTTGCTTCAAAGAAACTGTTGCAATGATCTGGATGTTTATTATTTATATAATATCTCTTTTCCTCCAAAGAATTTGAGATACTTAAATCTTAGTGACTTGCCAAGAAAGGGCAACTGTAGGAGACAGGGCAGTTCCTTTGGAGACGATAACCTCAGCTTTTATTCCTTTCACAGAATCCAATAAGACACACTGGGCTCACTTTTAACTCCTGTTCAGACATTAAAAGTCAAGGAACAAATGTCTATCCAGAAATGTTATATACACACTGTTAATATGGTTTATCCATTTCACATGAAGCAATAAGAAGTTAAAAAGATAGTACTAATGGATTTAAAGAATTACTTGGCTCATATTTGTGGTCTGTGATGCTGAACTGCTTACTGCAGTCTTTACCAAATACCTACAACAATACACTCTTCAAATCAAATGTGCAAATGTTTTTAACTCATAAGCTTGTCACATGTGTAAGAATGTGAATCAGCCTTAAAAGTAACAAAATAAAAATAAACATCTGCCCGTTATTTTTTATTTCAAAAGTCCTTTCTTTCATTAACTCAAATACCTAGGGAAAGGCAGAGCAGAAATAGAAAAAGAATGCTGGGCAATCCAATGAAGTTCAGCTAGTGGGCCCCAGATCTGCAGCTCCTAATCTGATGCTCCCTTACCTTCACTCACTCAGGCCCGCCTCTCTCCTTCCCTGTTTCCTGGTGAGGCTGTAGCATTTACGAGATACAAAGGCTGACATATGGGCAACCTGGATTCATAGCAGTTGCCCTTCAGTCTCCAAGGAGCCATGATATGCTTGCTGATGGGAACTGGCTCTGTGGCAGGTGGGGACCCAGGCTGAGTAAAGGAGAACCACACAGGCAATTCTTCTGGGAAGCAAAGGAACACTGGCTCCAATGAGCCACCACTCATCAGGGAAAGACATGGCATCAGGAGTTAAGAGATCTGGCTCAGCTCTAGTATCACAGTTGAGCACATGAGAGAACTAGAGAAAAGCAGTGTTTCCCCCTCTTTACCATATTTACCCTACATGCTCAAAGACTGGTAGGAAGTACAATGAATAATGGCTGTAAAAGAAACTGAAGGCACCTGCCACTGACATTCTGGTTTGGCTGATATAATTTCTGTTCATCGGTGGTATGGGATTAAGCCCAGCACAGTCTTGCAATTACCTGGTCACTTTAGTGTTCATGAAGCACTGCTGCAAAGTGTCTGCCAACCTCTGGTGCACCAAAGAGTAGCGAATGAAAGCTCTGCCTTTTCCCAGAGATGTTCGGAGCTGAAAACAAATTACATTGAGATAAACACCTGCCTCATGGAGGATTAGCAAAGGCCACGTATAGGACAGAACATGCCATCCGACCCTACTCTGACACTGGCAGCCCTTATCCCCATCAAAGGACACAAAACATCTGGCACTGTCACTCTAGGGTGAAACCTGAAGTGGGTGGGCTTATCTCAGGCCTCTATCTGAGAACCCTCTGCAAACATGAGAAGAAAGATATATGAATGAGAATCAAACACCTGTACACTGAATGGAGTCACCCTTGCTCTTCTTCCTACTAGAATCTCTGAGTCAGACAGGAAACTCCTTGATTTAATTTGGAGTAAGGTGTGAAACCTGGAGGTAACTGAATGGCTTCTCACATAGAAGCTATAGGAAGAAGGGATAGTAAACTTGGTTGGTGCTGGGCCCAAGGTACTAGTGGGTAGAGAGAGGCCTCAGTGGCTTTGTTAGAACATGTGTAGGAAGGGGAAGAGTAGAAAGAGTGGAGTTGTGTAAGTGGAGCTGTGCAAAGGTTTTGCAAGATGTATAACAGTCTCCTTTGTCTCCATAAAACCATCAAACCCCCATGTATCTGTTCATGCTTTCCTAATTGGGCTGGTTTCTTTTCAGATAAGCCAACTCATTGCATTTAGTCAATGTGCTATGGATGAGAATCGGGCTTTTCAGGAAATCTTGTCACCTGGAAGTAAATGTCATAGAAAAGCCCAGGTGTCTACAACTCTACAATAATGATGATGACAAAACTATTTAAAAGCATAAAGGGATCCATCTGAGGTTTAGTCATTTACAGCATACTTACAGTAAGCTGGGTAGACTCTGTAATGAGGCTGCAATACAGGGCCCTACTAGCTGTGGGCACATGGCAGTCAAGACAAGTGGATTAAAGGGAACTGCAATAGAGGACACTTGAGACTGGTTTGAAAATTAAGATTCATAATCTTAATATATTAGTCCCAGAAGCAGTCAGGCATTCAAAACACACTGAATCTACCCTAGGTATCTACTGGCACAAGCTCTGGATCTGAGTAGAGAAGGCAGGGCCAACACTCTCTTACCCCCTTAAAGGTCAGAATGTGGTAGGAGAGGGATGACAGTAGTTTTGTCAAAAAAGAGTCTTACTATTAAGATGCCCTGGAATGAGACAGGAAGTAAGTGGCATGCCACCAAGGCACCAATTATGCTGTAAACATTCCAATAGCAGTTCACACCTTTAACTCAGATATTTCTTATTTTGAGTCATTCTTACTGATGACTCACAGAAATAATATAATACACGGTGATTTTAAAAGACGTGAAACCTCATGAACTATGGAAGCCATAAGACATTTCTCCATGCATAGTCACAAGGGTTGAAATGGAGGTGGGCAGAAGACTGATTTGATATAAAGCACTACTTACATATATATATATAAAGCATGCTTACAAATAGTTATCTCAAGAGATGCACAAACACTTTCTCCTCTGATGAATGAGGTGAGAACAAAGTGCTCAGTGAGGACAACAGGGACATCTGAGCAGCCAAGAAAAGCTAGGCAAGGTACTCATCCACATACCCTAAAACTGGAGTAATAGTGGAATTTAATCAGACCTTTGCCCACAAAACCACTCTTTTTTTATATAATTTATTTTTATTTTATGTTCATTGGTATTTCACATGCATGTATGACTGTGTGAGGGTGTCAGAAGGCCTGGAACTGGAGTCATAGACAGTTGTGAGCTGCCATGTGGGTGCTGGTTATCGAACCCGGGTCCTCTGGAAGAGCAGCCAATGCTCTCAACCATCTGAGCCATCTTTCCAGCCCCCCCAAAACCACTCTTGTCTGTAAGCTCTAAGAGCAGGAGCAAGTCCTTATTCCTCCTACATGACAGTAAAACTTCTTAAATGGTAACACTTGAGCTCATTAGCTGAACAAATGATAATATATAAAGGGAGCTAGCTGTATACTTCAAAGGGATTTGTAAATGTCTTTCAGGAAAAGAAATTTTTCCTTTGTACTACAAATGAAAGTAACTACATATCTCCTTTAAAAATGTTTTAGCATTACCCTTTACAATAGCCACAAATAATATAAAATACCTCGGGATAACACTAACTAAACAAGTGAAGGACCTGTTTGATAAGAACTTTAAATCTCTAAAGAAAGAAATTGAAGAAGATATCAGAAAATGGAAGGATCTCCCACGCTCATGGATAGGTAGGATTAACATAGTAAAAATGGCAATCTTACCAAAAGCAATCTACAGATTCAATGCAATCCCCATCAAAATCCCAACACAATTCCTCACAGACTTGGAAAGAAAAATACTCAACTTCATATGGGAAAACAAAAGACCCAGGATAGCTAAAAGAATCCTGTATAATAAAGCAACCTCTGGAGGCATAACCATCCCTGACCTCAAGCTCTACTATAGAGCTATAGTAATAAAAAACAGCTTGGTACTGGCATAAAAACTGACATACAGACCAATGGAATCGAATTGAAGACCCTGACATTAATCCACACTCATATGAACACCTGATTTTTAACAAAGAAGCCAAAACTATACAGTGGAAAAAAGAAAGTATCTTCAACAAATGGTGCTGGCATAACTGGATGTCAATATGTAAAAGATTACAAATAGATCCATATCTGTCACCGTGCACAAAACTCAAGTCCAAGTGGATCAAAGACCTTAACATAAATCCAGTTACACTAAACTTAATAGAAGAGAAAGTAGGAAGTACTCTTGAATGCACTGGAACAGGAGACCACTCCCTAAATATAACACCAGCAGCACAGACACTGAGCACAACAATTAATAAATGGGACCTCTTGAAACTGAGAAGTTTTTGTAGGGTAAAAGACACGGTCAATAAGACAAAAGGACAGCCAACAGAATGGAAAAAGACCTTCACCAACCCCACATCTGACAGAGGACTGATCTCCAAAGTATATAAAGAACTCAAGAAACTAGACATCAAAATACTGAACAATCCAATTAAAAAATGGGCTAAAGAGCTAAACAGAGAATTCTCAAAAGAAGAATCACAAATGGCTGAAAGACATGTAAAGAAATGCTCAACATCCTTAATCATCAGAGAAATGCAAATCAAAATGACTCTGAGATACCACCTTACACCTGTCAGAATGGCCATGATCAAAAACACTAATGACAGCCTATGTTGGAGAGGATGCGGAGGAAAGGGAACACTCCTCCACTGTTGGCAGGAATGCAAACTTGTACAACCACTGTGGAAATCAGTATGGCGGTTTCTCAGAAAATTGGGAATCGATCTACCTCAAGACCCAGCCATACCACTCTTGGGCATATACCCAAGGAATGCTCAATCATACCACAAAGATACATGCTCAACTATGTTCATAGCAGCACTATTCATAATAGCCAGAACCTGGAAGCAACCTAGATGCCCATCAACTGAAGAATGGATTGAAAAAATGTGGTACATATACACAATGGAGTATTTATTACACAGCAGAGAAAAACAATGATATCATGAAATTTGCAGGCAAATGGATGGAACTAGAAAATACCATCCTAAGTGAGGTAACCCAAACCCAGAAGGACAAACATGGTATGTACTCACTCATAAGTGGATACTAGATATAAAGCAAAGAATAATCAGACTACAACCCACAGAACCAGGGAGGCTATATAGCGGGGGGGGGGGGGGGGGGGGGGGGGGGGACTAGGAGAAGCCATAGGCCATACAGTCTGTAATTTAAAAAAAAAAAAAAAAGTGTTTTAGATCATAGGTCAGCTTTCACTACTCAATTCCCGGTTTTCTTAGCATCCCATATACATCACATTAAAAAGGCACACAACAGCAGCACAGGACAGGAGACCTGCAAGGAACATGGGCTGCCTCTGCTTTAAACCAGACTACTGGGCCATGAGCCTAGAGCAAAGCTTGCCTCCACATGCTTCAGGGAAACACAGTCCCAGAAGAGCTCATTTTGAGCCTCTAGAAGTGGCTTACTAGCATGCTCACATACATTAGCCCAAATGGCTAACTCCTTTCCAAAAGGCCCTGAGGATTCCTAGAAATGCTATGAACCATTAAATTCTAGTCACACTTGAAGACCCAAAGAACACCCGAGTACTAGGGTAACTGAATAGAAGTTTTCCCACCTAGTGACATTCCAAGACAAAGAACAGAGCTTTCAACCATAGTTGAAACCCAGTTGAAACTGGGCCCCACAGGAAATCACCTACAATGCCACTAAAACCTGGAGGAGCAAGCCAGAAGTCGGCACACAGCTTCCTTAACTTCTTTGAAGTCTATTTGCATGGCCTCAAAAGGTATGAATACATTATGAGGAGAGGAGAAAAACAGCTAAAAAGTAGACTGTTTTAGAAAACACTTCATGATTCTAGGAATGAAGACTAACTTACTGTTAGACTTTACTTGTCCAAAGTCATACAATTGAAGGCTTCAGTGCTGGTACAGTGGGTGAAGAATGGGAGAAGGGAGTGAAGCAGGAACCTTTCCAGATTCCTGATACATCATTACACACTGCTCTACACCATGAACTTGAGTTTCTTACCAATCTCACAAGACCAACTCACACCACAGTGACATTAAAGATATACACAGGACAAACACTTCAGAACTGCCACCTTTCCTGACTTGCCCAGAGTCAGAGGATGCAGCTGGTAGAAATCACTGAGTCTTTGATGTTAGTGTTCTTAATACTGTTTCCATCTATAAGAAGAAACACCATGGTATGCCTGGAAGCGCTATTGCTAGAACACCCAACACACTCTAACACTGTGGCCTTTGAGGCCAGCCAAAGAGCCTATGTGCTGATTTTAAAGTGATTCCATACTTGTCAGAGATGCTGACGAGACAAAATGCACAAACTTTTCTAACCTTTCTTCAAATTTTGGGTTCACTTGTTCCCCATGTATGTGTGCTTCACTTCTGGGTTGACTGGGGTGATGAGAGAGGGAGAGAGTCATTGGGGATGGAGATGGGAGAAAGGTATGAGGGAAATCATCTGAGGTTTAGTCACTCACAAAATGGTGTGCTGAGCAGACTCTGCTATGGGCTTCAACACAGGACCTTCTGGCTTCTGGTGCAAAGCAGCCAAGATAAATGGATTAAAGGAACTGCACAGAGATCTCAAGACAGGACTGTAAATTAGGATCCACAAAGGAAGAAGGGTGTGTAGGTGGTATGATATGTTTGTGTGTTTTTTTAGAAGTTTATAGTAAGTCAAAGCCAGGGCATTCAGCTCTTCCTGAATGAGGGCCCAACCAGATATAAGAAGTTACTTAGCAACTCTGCATGATAAGAAATATCCTTGAGTCAGGCGGTGGTGGTGCACGCCTTTAATTCCAGCACGCAGGAGGCAGAGCCAGGTGGATCTCTGTGAGTTCGAGGCCAGTCTGGTCTACAGAGAGAGATCCAGGATAGGCACCAAAACTACACAGAGAAACCCTATTTCAAAAAACCAAAAAAAAAAAAAAAAAAAAAAAAAAAAAAAAAAAAAAAAAAAAAAAAGAAGAAGAAGAAGAAGAAGAAAGAAAAAAAAAAGAAATATCCTTGAGATTCTTACTCTCTTCACTTCAAATGTAAGTTTCCTGAGCAAACTGCTGGAAAAGTAGCCTAGCAACTCTAAAAATTTTTCTGGTTTATTGTTTATTTATTCATTCATTTAGTGTGTGTGTGTGTGTGTGTGTGTGTGTGTGCATGCTAGGCCATGTATATGTCATGGCACATGTGGGGAGGTTAACCTGCAGGAGTCTGTTCTTTCTTTCAACCATGTGAGTTCTAGGGATGAAACTTTGGTCATCAGGCATGATGGCCAATGTCTTTACCTAATTGTTGTGCAAGCCTGTTAATATTCTGACCTGCCCCTTTGAAATCCTGCCCCTTTGAAATCCTGCCCCTTGGGGCTGCCCTGCATCCTGATGTAGAAGCCTCTTTTTAAGGAAAAACTCTGCCCCTTGCTCTCTCTCTCTCTCTTTCGCTTTTCCTCCCACAAGGTGTGCACCCCTTGAATCCCCTCTTTCTCTCTGTCTCTCTCTTTTCTATCTTTCTCTTCATCTCTCTATTAGAATAAACTCTCCATGTGCATACAGCGTCTGGGTTGTGAATTGCTGGCTGCTGCCACCGCCATACCTGCATGGCATGCATCTGCCCAGCCTGCCGCTGCATCTGCGCAGCATGCCAGCATGGTTCCCAGCACGAGTGGGATACCCTTTCCCACATGTGAATAATTCATAACAAAGCCCCCCAAACTAGCAACTAAAGAAAATGATTTTTTTTTAAAGAGGGAGGCAGTGTTATACACTTCCAAAGAGTGCCATGAACAGAGACTTTCCAGTGTGAATAGCCCAGTTGGGAAGTAACATTTAGAACCCTGACCATTTCTGCTTAGTCTAAATTCAGGTAGTTTCCATGAGCTTGAATCATATAATAGGTGCCCAATGTGCCTGGACTGGATTTCTTGGGTTCTTGGTCACCCATAGACTTCATGCTATATCTAGCTATTTGCAGAAGAGGTGTTCACAAAGAAACTTTAGGCAGGCCAATGGAAGACAGGTGGTCCTTCCCTTCATGACTTGGCTTACCTCAGAGATGGACCTGACAAATCGGATCCCATCATTTGCTCCCTTCACCTTGGCTAGGCACGCACAGAAGTAATCCCAATAGTCCTTCTTGCTACCCAGGAGGCTAGCCTTCTCCTTCTGATCAAACTGAGCAAAGAAAGGAACAGAGAGGAAGTCTGAGCCCACTGTTGTTCATACTCCATTAACACAATAAACATTACTAGCTTCTTGGGGACAGGCACTGAGGGAGGCCTCTTGCTGTTCTTACTTTAATTTATTGGCAAACCAGAGTATCTTAATCTCAAAACAAGAGTGTTTTAATTCACAAACTTTTAGATGTGAAACTGAGGCTAGTAAATACCAGTTCAAGGTCATATTAACTAGTAAGATTTAGGAATAATAGTTATCATAAAAGATTTATCTCTTGGTACTTGCCTAGCATATACAAAGCCTGAGTTGTAGTTCTAGTATAGCAAACTAGAGTGACTGACTGATAGAAAAAGGAAAGAAGGAAGGTAGAAAGGAGGAAGAAAGGAAGGCAAGAATGATAAAAGGAAAGTGATAAAAAGAAAAAAAGAAGAAGAGATTTATTTTAAGGGTTACTACCATAGTTTGGTGGAAAACCTCCAATGTGATAAGGAAATTCAAGTGAAGAGTCTTATGTCAACATTCAGAGTATTAACTGTGCCGTAACTTAGGGAACTGAGGTAATGACATTTTATCCATTACTCAACTCTCAAGAGTTAATACTATGTTAAAATACAAGAAAAATTTAAATGAATGTCAGTATTGAGTACTTTCAAATTCAAAACCAAAATGGGCTTAACTGGAAAAGGTAAAAAAAACAAAACAAAACAAAAAATCCAAACAAACAAAGCAAACCCTCATAACCACCTGGTGTCAAAGAACCAGCTGGAGGCGTAAGGTAAGTCCTTCCATGCCTGTCTTTATTTCTAGCAGCTCTCTCACCTATGTTCTCTGGTGGGATGTGATACTGTAAAAAGTATGGTAGGTATCTTTCTATACCATTTAGAGAATTTCACCCTGGTTATGGAACAAGATTCAAATGTGCTATTTTCAAATCTAGGTAACACAAAACAAAACCCAGGAGAACAGTAATGCCTCATACAACTGTGGTAAAATGATTGCAGGTCATTTCCTGCCTATTTCAAAAGTATGGGATTCCCAAATCAGCAGAGTTGTCTGAGTCAAATTAAGCAGACACAAAAGTTACACCATGAAAATGTTAAAAGAATGTTTGCTTGACTAACCCTGATTTATAAATAGCCATATACACAGTAACCATGCTTGAGCAAGGCTCTGAAATTGGCCTTGATGATCTTCCAGAGTCTGCTCTCTTGGAAACCGCCTTTATACCTGGCTTATGTTCATATAGTGTGTCTGTAAGGGTGAGACACCAAACTACAGGGTTCAACAAGTTCTCAAAGGGTGTAAGTAACTACCCTACCCTACAGTCAAGAGCTTTGTTGGACAGGCCTGTGACTTGCCTTAAGATGGCTTAAATCTTAGAGGAATGTTTTCAGTTCCCAGAACGTCCTGACTCATACGGGAGGACTGAGCTCTTGGGACTGTTCTGACTCTTAGTCTCACCACAAGGGCTTGATTGTTCCATTGTGCTTTCTGAACCACATCCTGGAAACTGATAAAAGTCACTCAAATGGGGAACAAGAGACAACTGTGACAAAACCAACACACAACAGGAGCCACTTACTTGCAGAAGATACTCAAGCTTATAAGAAAACTTGTGCAAGCTGGTGCTGTCATCGGTGATTGGTTCTCCTCCTTCCTTAAATTCATTGCTTAGTTCTGTTACTGCATCTTTAAAACAGACAAACAGGAACATAGGACTAGAGAGACATATCTGTCTATTTTACATTTTAACAGCCCTTAAATTAGCATGCATCTTAGATGTACTGAAAAGTAAGTCTGAGAAAGCAGAAATAACAACAGGAAGCACAAGGATAAGTGGTCAGTGATGGTCACCTTAGAAACACACAAGACTTGTAAATATTCAGGTGATATAACTTCAGGTAGGAGAGTCAAAATGTACTAAGATCCCATAGACACTGCAACAGCTTGCTGACTGGGCACACGTTTTAATATTCATCCCTGTGTATCCACCATCAAGCTAGCACTATGTATACACAGTCAGTCAACAAATGGTTACTATGTGGATCAATCATGCAGTGTCACAAAACAAAACACCCAACACTGGGTATTCACAAAGTAAAAATATTTATTTAACATTTTAGCAGTCCTGGGATTAGGATTCATGTTAGATGTGTTGAAAAATAAGGCAATACTTTCTCTGCAATGGTGCATTAAACAAGAAACACACCTAAAAACAAGGCATCAATTCTGGAGGCCCCAAATGGTGGTCTCTGGTATTTAATAGTGTGAAGTTCCCTTTCATAATTTGTCCCCACAGTAATTAAACCATACCTAAAAGACGACTCTGTGAAACCAGCATTGAGTTCTTTTCAGGGTGGTCATGACCCAATCACCTGTCACTAGACTCTAAAGAGGTTCCATTTCTCTCCAACAGTGTGAGCCAAGCTTCTAGCACAAACCATACCATTCACTTACAACCCTATCAGCACAGGTTGAATACAGATTTCAGAGCATCAGTAAGTATAAGTAACAGTAACAATGATAACAATATCTGTTTCTGTTAATTGGATTCCCAAGAGGGGTCAGACCTTTACATGTATTTTTCATTAATGGAGTATCTGCCTTATTTCAATAAGCCTGAAATGTTATGTAATATGCACTCTAGTTTTAGCACTGAGAAAAGATGAAAAAATTAAATATGATATAGAATCCAAGAAATCTCTTATTATCACCCCCATTTTACATTTAAAGGATACAGGGGCCAGAGACTCAGCTTAAGATCCTGTTGGCAAACAGCAGAGCTCTAAGCAGACATTGGTCCCTTCACCTCTCTGGAGAGCAGTTTGCTCCCCTTGTTTGTCGGTTGGGTTTGGTGACAGGATGTAGGTTTCAAGACTACTGAATCAACTGTGAGATTTCTGTGAGGCTAATATAGATTCATAAGGCTTTCTTTGAAAACTTGCCACTGTGACATAGAAAAGACTATCTTGTGGTGAAACTTCTAAAGGCCAATGGCAAACACAGATTTGCCCAAACTGTCATTTATTTTCTCTATATGTCTGTATAGATTAAACAAAACAAAAAACACTAAACACTTTAGCTGAAAGTCTAATGTGGTCACGAGCTAAGACTGATGATGTATAACCCCAAGCTTTGTTCCATACTGGTTCTGTGATAGTAAGAAAGGCAGATACTCCACTGTGTCTATTTTCTTCACTGCAAAAACGGTAGTAGCAATGGCATCTACCTCATAGGACCAAACAAGAAGATTCCACAGGTCACTATCGGTAACATGTATACACAGCAGTGTCTTATGTACCTGAAACACCATACAAAATATGAGGCCCCAAAGCACTATAAAAAGCAAATCTGAGAAAATGGGTTGGACCTTGTTGGCTTTGGATCTCAGATGCAGACTGTGGACTGCACTGAGGGTATCCCAGACTAACGGCCTTTACTATAAGATTTGTACTTGTTTGTCTAGTCTAAACAGTCAGGAATCTGGATTTCTAGGCTGTCAGGGAAGTGTCACTGTGACCTCTGCAGGCACAGCTCAGTGGCAAATGTGCTGGCACTCCAGAGGATTATAAAAATCAAGCCAGGCAGAGTTGGGGGTGACAGATCTACTAAAATCTGGTCCTTGGGAAGTCATCTAATAGGGTAAAACTTGGACTCTGCGGTCCACAGAAACGCTGTTATTCTGTCAAGGTCTAGCTGTAGTTTCGTCTGTTTCCCTTCTCCTGCCTTTCTCCAATGGGGAAAGACTACAAACCCAAGTGACTTCCTCAGGAAGCCTGGAGGTAGTAGGCCTGGTACTAAAATGCGTGAGACAATGGCCACCAGTGGCTGGGGGCTAGTGTGGGGAGATGCAACATGAAACCTCCAAGTACCTCACCTGCCTTGGTGCTTGAAGACAGGAGAATGTTCCTCCCCCTAAAGTCAAGCTCACCGAAGTCCAACAAGGGGCGGGGGTGACTCCACCAAAGGCAACTAGGCAGCCTAAAGCACAAAGAGCTGAAACTAGCCCCAGTCCTCTCACTGGTATTTGATTTTGTTCACAAACTAGCTGTGTTGCTATGAGAGGAGTATAAAGTAAGCCCTCCCATTGCACAGAGGCTGGCTATCTGAGAACCAAATATTTTAATATGATGTGTACTATGTGTGAACAAAGAGGAAAGGGCTGAATTCTGACAATCAACAGCCAAGGCACAGGCCCAAGTTCCTCAAAACCAAGCCCAATTCACCAGCCACTCAAGCAGACCTTGTAGATCACGGATGATCCTCTGGAGCTGGGTCTCAGCGCTGTTAGAAGCCATGGTGTCCCCCTTTCTGGGATGTGTAGGTCCAAGACAGACTATCACCTCAGTGCTGTGTGGCTGCCAGTCAGCAGTGGTCAGACTTCATGGTGGCACCTGTACAGGGAAGAGATCACAGTTTAAAGAGTGTAGAGGACATCCACTCTAGGCACTTTCCTTGAAGAGATGGATTGACCTTTTCTGTGTGAATCTTGTTAGCAGGTACTCTCAAGTTTGCTTCTGATGTACTTATACTCTGACACTATGACATGCTTCTACACTGTTCTTTGGTTTGTCAACTTGACACAAGGTATGCTTTGCTTTGTTTTGTTTGTCAACTTGATACAGCTAGAGTTATCAAAGAGGGAACCATAAGTGAGAAAATGCCTCTTATGACTGGCCTGTGCACAAGCCTCTAGATCATTTCTTTATTTAGTGATTGATGTGGGAAGGCCCAGCCCATTGTGGTTGGTGCCACCATTGGGCAGGTGGTCCTGGATGGTGTAAGAAAGCAGGCTGAGCAAGTCATGAGGAACAATTCAGTCAGCAGCACTCTTCTATGACTTCTACTCCAGTTCCTGCCTTGGTGTCCCTCAGTAATGGGAATGTGACTGGAGAGTTTTAAGATAAAATATACTCTTTCTTCCTCAAGTTGCTTTTGGTCACAGTCTTTATCACAGTAATAGAAACCCTAACTAAAATACAGACTTAGCAAGAAGCAAGATCAACTTAATAGCATAACTGGTTATTTCTGAGCTGTCCATCCTGTCTCTTGGGACAGAAGTGCCTCATATTTCATCTTCAGAAAAGTCTTCAGTGGCTCCCTTACCGTTTTCCACAGAGGTCAAACCTGCTTATTTCAAATTTTGACATCACTAAACCTTGAGGAGCCAGCTCTGTTCAGAGCCATTTTTCTTATATTCCTTTCTAAGGAACAGCCAGAAACTTCTAGCTAGGCAGTGTTGGGGGGTGGGGATGGGGGCAAGAGGCAGGGGATACATACCCTGCTTCTGAGAGGGACAGCATAGCCTGTCTAGTAGAAAGTGGCTCCTCCATTGTCAGTGGTTTGAGCCTCTTCTGCCCTGTGTTCTGCTAAACCCGAGGGTGAAAATATTCCCTGACCAGCCACCCAGGAGCCTACATAGCCCTCCCTTCAGCCCAGGATAAGGTACTATTTTAAGCTCAGTCATAGTTTTCTCCAGCTTGGAGAGTCCCCTACTTGGGCAGCTGTTAATGTCATTTAAGGACACAGTAGTGTTTGAAGACCAACAAAAAGGAATGTGAGCAGCTGGAAGGGAGTGATGACTATGCATTTGGACTCAAGACCTTTCAGATGCTTTAATTTACCCTTTAAGTATCTTGTGTGAAGGTGCAATGTCTGCTATAAGGACAGTAGCAGCCACATTACTGACAGCCTGCTCAGGGCTCTGGTCTATATTTTACACAGAGCACTTACTTTTCACAATCATCATGGTAAGGTAAACACCTTCCTGTTTACAAAGGAAAATCTGATGTTCTGTAACCTAAGGCCCAAGGCCAATGAGTAGAGCTGACTTGATTACTGTTCTATGTGATTTCAAACCTGGGGTTTTCCCAGTAAATCCTGGTGAACTTTTAGGACAGCACAATCATCACTACAGAAAATGACTTAACTCTTCTACTGGCTCCTAAGAACTACCTTCAACTTCAGTGGTTCCCAATAACATGCCACACTGAGTCTATCTAACATGTGCCAGCTCTTACTCATTCAGTGCTGGGCTTCCTTCTAGCTTCAGGAGATGGGACAAGGAAGCCCTGGAAAGGAAATGGCTTTAGCCATAAACAACTCCAAATATTTATAAGCATTCTAGTGAGTAGTCAGGTGACTGGTCAGGTCAGCATAGGCTTGTCTATTTTTAACTCACAAGCCAACACAGTTGTGACTCAGTGGAAACATAGAGGACTTCTCAAGCCCAGGAAGAAAGAACCAGGCACTCAGCTAGACCACAGTCCCACTAATGCATGACACAGAACTTCACAGAGTCAAGGTTCAGGAGTTCTTGAACCACTCTATAAAGGCCCCCAACAACTACTGGTACCATTCATCAAGTATAATAGACTGGGGACAGGAGTGGTTCATGAGAAGCCTGCTTCTCATCCCAGTGTTTCTCCTAGGTCACATGCTGAACACAGAGACCAGGCAGAGTCTAGTCATAGCTCTAGAGAGGGCCAAAGCCTATGCTCAGTTAACTTTTTTCCTTAATTAAAAAAAATTATTTATTTATTTATTTTATGTAAACAAGTGCTCTATCTGCATGTATGCCTGCACCCCAGAAAAGGGCATCTGATCTCACTGCATATAGTTGTGAGCCACCATGTGGTCGCTGGGAATTGAACTCAGGACCTCTGGAAAAGCAGCCAATGCTCTTAACCACTGAGCCATCTCTTCAGCCCCTGGCCTCTTCACACAAGGCCCAGGCAGACAGTCTCTGTCTTAGTTTGCTTTCTATTACTGAGACAAAACACCATGATCAAGCTGGGTGGTGGTGGCTCATACCTTTAATCCCAGCCTTCAGAAGGTAGAGGCATGTGGATCTCTGAGTTCAAGGCCAGCCTGGTCTGTAGAGCAAGTGCCATGACAGCTAGGGCTACACAGAGAAACCCTGTCTTGAAAAACCAAAAGCCAAACCAAATCAAAACAAAAACCCCTTGATGACTAAAAGCAACTTGAGGAGAAAAGGTTTATTTCAGTTTACAGTTATAGTCTGTCATGAAAGGAAGTCAGGACAGGAACTTGTGACGGAAACCCAGGGGCAGGAACTGAAGGAGAGGTCATAGAGGCACAAGGCTTACTAGCTTGTTCTTCATGGCTTACTTAGCCTGCTTTCTTATCCAAGCCAAGACCATCTGCCCAAGGGAGGTACTGCCTGCAGTAGGCTGGGCCCTTCCCACAGCATTCATTAAGAAAATGCCCCCAAAACCTGCCTCTGGGCCAATCTGATGTCTCTATTGAAGTTCCTTCTCCCCATATAACCCTGGCTTGTGTCAAGCTGACAAAACAAACAAACAAACAAACAATCATGAAATCTATCCAGTACAGCCCCTACTGGTGAGGTAGGAATGACTCTGTATCCTCACTATCTACATGTGGCCCTATCGTCACCCTTTGTTAGATGTTTTGTGCAGGCAGAGAGGCTCATAAGGTACAGTAGTCCAGCTTTGCTGAAGCTGAGCGACAATGCTGGCTAGTTTTATGTCAATTTGATACAAGTTAACCTCATCTGAGAGGAGGGAGTCTCAACTGAGAAAATGCTTCCATACAAGCCTGTAGGACATTTCCTTAATTAGTGACTGATGTGAGATGGTCCAGCTCATTGTGGGTGGGGCTACCCATGAATTACTAGTCCTGGGTTCTATAGGAAAACTGTCGAGCAAGTCAAGAGGAGCAAGACAGTAAGCAGAACTTCTCCATTGCTTCTGCATAAGTTCCTGCCTTCAGCTTCTTGCTCTGCTGGAGTTCCTGTCCTGACTTCCTTCAATAATGAACAGTGATATGGAAGAATAAGTCAAATAAACCCTTTCCTCCCCAAGATGCTTTTGGTGATGGTATTTCATTACACCAATACTAATCCTAACTAAGACAGAAACTGATACCAGAAGTGGGGTTATTGTTGTGCCCATGCTGTCTTGGAGAAGATTGTGGAAGAACTTTGGAACTTTGGGCTAAAAAAGCCATTGAGTGTTGAGACTTCTGTGGGCTGTTCTGTAGGCGCTTGGAAGACAACATTGAGAACAATGCTGATGATAGAGGCCTGGTGAGAGTTCCTTAAAGACTCTACTAATGTCGTTTGCTATTTTGGACTAAGAACCTGTGGTTCTAGACAGCTGGGCTGAAGAATTGGCTGTGATTAACAAGAGATTAGAAACACTAAAGTGAAACCTTTGCTTTGCTGGGACAATGGATGCTGGTCAGCTGAGGCTGAAGAATCAGCTATGATTAAGAGACCAGCATCATGAAGGTGAAGTCCTCTAGAAAGTGTTTCCTCAGGGTCAGCAGACAGAAACTGTGTTCCAGGAGAGGCCAAGGTTCTACCTCATGCTGGTGCTGAACTTAGCTGTGTAAGAGTTACCCAAGTGGTATAGGCTGAAGACATGAAAGGGTCATAGAGAGTAGCTGAGGCTTGGCTCTATGTGGCAGGCTGGAGTCCCTGAAGAGAGCACAGGAGAGGCTATTGGTCAAAGTATAGCTCAGCTGCAACAAGAGACCCCAGCATTTTGGATATGCCAGTACCATGGGTTGACTGCCAAGAACAGCAACAGCCATGGAAGTCTGCCTGAGCTTAGGAGACAAGCTATGTGTGCTGAAGAGAGTGGAACAGAAGTGACCCAGGCCCTGTGGAGGAGCCCAGAAGACTGTGAGTGGATTCCAGACCTTGGACACTGAGTTATTTACAAAGTTGGAGTTTGGCTTTGCTTTGTTTAGATTTTGACTATGCTCTGGTTCTTTGCTCTTGAAGTAAGAAAGTATCTAATTTATTTTTGATTTTATAGGAGTCTGAAGTTGGGAAACTTCAATTTTTTTTAGAGATTGAACTTTTTTAAAGTATTGGCAGTTGTAAGACTATTAGACTTCTTAAGTTTGTAAAATGTTTTATGTTGTGATGTTAATATTAATGTGTGACCATGGGGATGAACAAGAAAGGAAAGGTTGTAGCTTAACAATGATGTGTTTGTGTGTCAAGCTGACAAGGGGTCAATTGTGCTGGCTAGTTTTATGTCAACCTGACACAAACTATAGTCATCTGAGAGGAGAGAACCTCAATTTAGAAAATGCCTTCATAAGATCAGGTTGTAGGCAAGTTTGTACGGTATTTTTTTAATTAGTGATTGATGTGGAAGGGCCTCAACCATTGTGGATGGGGCCACTTATGGGCTGGGGTTTGAGGTTCTAAAAGAAAACAGGGTGAGCAAGCCATGAGGAGCAAACCAATAAGCAGTACCCCTCGGTGGCCTCTGCATCAGCTCTAGCTTCCTGCCCTGTTTGAGCTCCTGCCATGATTTCCTTCAGTAATGGACTATGATGTGGAAGTATAAGCCAAATAAACCCTATCTTCCTCAAGTGGCTTTGGTCATGGTGA